ATTTTATGTTTAAGAAACATTTGTTTCTGCTATTTTGAAATATTTAAGAGCTACTTTATTTTTTTTCCCCCCCAGAACAACACACCTGGTTTTACTTATTTAAAAAATACTACACAGTTTTTCTTCTCAGTCTTGCATCTCACAAAGACTCACAGACTTAGACTAGCCTCATAAGAGCTATTTTAATATGGGATTGCTAAAATTTAAAAAATAGGATCTGTGAATATAGCTTTCAGAAATTTAGATATGGAAAACTAATGTTATCAACATATGCATTACAGTGTGAGAAGTACATAAAAGAATTCTTCCTCTTTATGAAAGGATTTACTGTGGTCCATTAAATATGAATTCCCCAGCTCGGCTCATCTCCCGCACCAAGAGGTCATGGTTTAATTCCAGGTCTGGGCACATGCCCCGGTGTAGGCTGGATCCCCTGTGGGGAGCATGAAGGAAGCAGCCCATTGATGTTTCTATTAGCCCATTGATGTTTCTCTCTCTCTCCCTCTCTCCCTCCTTCTTTCTCTAAAATCAATGAAAAACATTAAAAAGTGAATTCCCTAATACCCTTACTAACCATTTAAAAAAAAAAAAAAGAAAAGAAATTAAAGCTGTATAAATTTTGAAAGTAGTCTATTGAAGTGTTTAGAAGATACAGGAAATATGCCTGTAGTTGCATTGTTTTTTTGGAAACAATACACTATATTCAGCAAACACAGCCTGTTTTTCTTCGCTTTGGCATGTGAAACTTTAAGTGACTGATTCAATTAGAGAGAAAAAAGTCTGATGCTAAGGACCAATAACATGTAATGCTAAGTACCATTAATAGCAGAGATAACAAATAAAATGGCCCTTTTCAGTAACACGTATATAACATCCTTTGATGGTTCTTATTTCTTCATTATAATAACTATATAAAAGAAGTGGCTCTTCAGCCAGATAACCTGAAGTAGAGGACTTGACTTGAATCTTTCTTGCCACTGCCTTATGGTTAGATCTTGGCCTTTTCACGCTCTGTAAAAATAAGAATATTTTATGGCATTGTAATTATTTTGTGAATGAAATGAGAATGTGTAAATATGTTTTGAAAAATTAACTGTAAATATATGCCATTTGGAGTGTCTGAAGTAAACACTTTTGAATTTTGTGTTTTTCATTCCTCCATCAATTCTATCTGTGAAAGACATGATTACTATTTCCTTTGTTGAAAAAGAAGGACCAAAGACTCATTTACGAAGGCCACCTTTAATCTCTATTATCTCTGCTTCAGGGCCTTGATTCTATTCTTAAATTAATGTAATAACTTGGGAGGTTGTGATTTTTATTTAAATAACTAGGGAAGACATTTTTAATGATTTTTATAATATTAACATCTTTCAGGTCTGTATAGCCTAACTGCTAATAATCATGCAAATATAGCACACATTTATTTTCTCTCCTAACTTAATCATTTAAAACATTTTTTTAAAGAAAGCAATTCCAAGGAAAAAAACATGGTTGGTATTTATTTAGCACTTTTGCAATAGCTCAAGGGAACACATATCAGTATTATATCTTTGGTGATCAAAATAAATAAATTAACTGAAAAGAATTGGATTTGAAATCAGATCTGGTTCAGATTATATGGTGATGGTCTTAGGCCCATCATTTAGCCTCTTTGTATCTCAGTTTCCACATCTCTAAAATAGGAATAATAGTTACCTTACATCCATTCCTTCAACATATATTGCGAGTTCAGAAAATGCTCGGTTACAGCTATAAACAAGACAAGCCCCTGCCACTCCTTAGATCTTCAAATTCTTTAATTTATTCCTATTACCTTTTTTGTTGTTGCTTTTTTTTTTTTTTAGCTTCTGGCAACAATGTTAGAAAATATTGATTGAAATGATCCTCTAGCCAAAACTGGTTTGGTTCGGAGGTAGAGCGTCGGTCTGCGGACTGAAGGGTCCCGGGTTCGATTCCGGTCGGGGGCATGTACCTTGGTTGCGGGCACATCCCCGGTTGGGGGTTTGCAGGAGGCAGCTGGTTGATGTTTCTCTCTCATCGATGTTTCTAGCTCTCTATCTCTCTCCCTTCCTCTCTGTAGAATATCAATAAAATATATATTTTTTAAAAATGATCCTCTAATTCCTATTGTACTTTATAGAGAAAATTTTGCCTATGTGTATAAGGAGACATAGAAATATTCATGGCATCATGGAATCTTAGAGATGGAAAACTGGAGATGAGGGAAATGTCCATTAATAGGATAAAGGATACAAAAGTTACAAGTATACAGCAGCAAAAAAAATGAATGAAATGCAGCTGGAGCTACTAATGAGATATTGAAGAAAAAATTGCAGAAAGATATGTATAGTGATAATAAAATTTATGTAAAACTGCATATTGTTATGACTGTTAGTAGATGTAATAAAAGTACATACCTGGGGGTGATAAACATGAAAATCAGTATAGTTTTACTCCTGTGGAGTGGGAGGTGAAGGGTATTAAGGACACGGGAGACTTCAATTATGAGGTTACATACTTTATAAGCCAGGTGTTAGGTACATGATTATTTTATTCACTATGTTTTTTGTAAACTGGACATATTTTATAACAATGTTTAAAAGGAAAATAGTAATTCTAGCTTATAAACTGAAGAATGAACCACCAAGGGCTACGAGTGGAAGGGAGGAGACATGTTAGGAGGCCCTTGCTGTACTCCTGAAGGGTAGAGCTGGGTATCTAGCAGTTTCTGGCATAGTCCGTGTTTAACAAATTGTAGTTATTGTTGAGGTGGCTGCTATCATCATCATCATCAACAGGGCAAAGATCAAAGACTTAGGGGGACTGTGAAAAAAGAGAAACTAAAATGTTTCAAGTAGCTATGTTGTACTAGGTGCTTTATTTATCTTTTGGTTTTACCTAGAATCTAGTTATAAAGAATCTAAGGCTCAGAGAAAGGCAGAAGGCACAAGGCTACATACATTTCTAATGACTCATTTTTCAATGTTATTTAAAACATACACTCTCTTCTGCCAATATACACACCCTTTTCCCCATCTAGCATTTGGAAAAAAAAAAAAAATGCAACCATCTTTTCTCTTTGGTTCTTAAGTAGCATATTTTGAGTTAAAGTTTAATAGCTCGATACACCAAACACTTGGATAGTGTCTTATTACATGTTACAGAATACTTCTGGATCTCTCTCAATTTTTCACTTTATCCTCCTAACAACTCTGAGGAAGGGCAGTTGATCATTCTTGTTTTACAGATGGGTAAACTAAAACCCAAAGAGGCTAAATCAGAAATTTAAAAAATATATATTTTATTGATTTTTTTACAGAGAGGAAGAAAGTTAGAAACATCGATGAGAGAGACATCGACCAGCTGCCTCTTGCAAACCCCTCCAAGGGGATGTGCCCGCAACCAAGGTACATGCCCTTGACCGGAATTGAACCTGGGACCTTTCAATCCGAAACTCTATCCATTGAGCCAAACCAGTTTAGGCTAAATCAGAAATTCTTAATCCGTGTGAACACGAACTTCAAGAATTCCTATGTTAAATAGTTTATGACTGAGTGGGCATTTTTCTAGGTTGAGGGTTAACTTTAATTGTATGGTAAAGGAGTTCACGATCCCCCCAAAAAAAGGTTTCAGAAACAGGGGGTTAAACGATTTTCCGAAAGCCCCAGGTCACAGGGTCCTGGTGCAGCAAAGACCCCAAGCACTTTCTTCCTACCTCATACCCTGAATTCTTCTCATTACAACTTACAGCATCAACATTCCGATTAGAGATATTATCGGTGAAGCACGGAGTGTGATGTTTACTGACTGCTAAGGTGCAAGAGCTGTTAAATATAGAGAAACCTCTTACCGGGAGTTTGTTCAGCTGTTGGGCACTCTAATCTACAGGGTGTTATTTTTCAAATGAGCAAGTCAAGAGCTGTTACTACCAGCGCTAGCACAAACTTGCTAACTGACACAGTGGCTATGTGACGTATTTTAAGAAAGGAATCTGACACAGTGGCTATGTAACGTATTTTTACAAATGTGAGGAATCTATAAACAATAATCATGAAAAAAAACCAAAAATCCTGAGACACAGCTTCTTGATCTAGAGGTGGGAAGCAGACCGTGAGCTGAGAGTGGATTTTCCTTTCCCCTGGACCTGTTAACATCTCAGGATCTCCTTTCTATGAGATGTAAAAGGCAGGATTAAAGTGGATCGCTTTCTCGGAATCCTTCCAACTCTACAGTCCTTGCAGTTTGGACAGGATTTAAAATAGGGGCGCAAATGGGTATAAACTCTTGACAAAGCCTTTTAAAATTGGCTTTATTTTCCCAATAAGAAAGGCCAAGGTGGGTGAGCGGTCATTAACCCCAATTGTCCGTGGGGCGCACTACACCTGCCCCTGAAGAAGGTCAAGCCTGCAGCCCCCTTTGGGTGATGTGAGGGTGGGCGGAGAGGATGCCTCGGGAGGCCCAAAGGTCCAGGGGGATTTCACAGGAACCACGGGCTCTCAATCCTACCCTCAGGAATGAAGGAAGCGGAACGCCCTGGCCCAGGCCGCGGGAAGGGATCGGGTGGGGTGAGCGAACGTTGAAGGTGGGGCTTCGCGCCCGAGGCGGTTTCTGTACCAGCAGCACCGCACCTCCCGCGGGTCCCGGGCGCCGGGCTGCAGGCTGGGGCTGAGCTCGGGGAGCGGAGTCACCCTGGGAACCTCCCGGCCGCCGGGGCCACGTGACCCGGTGCGGGGGCGGGGACAGCGCGCCCCGCCCCGCCCCCCACGCATGCGCGCGGCTCCCGGCGCTGAAATTCAAATTTGAACGGCAGCAGCCCGAGCCCGAGTCCCACACCGGAGGCTGCCGGGGACAGGAGCGCAGGCTGGGGAGAGTGGTCCCGGCCCCGGACTCCTGGTTTTCTCCAAGCGCCACCCCGGACCGGGACTCACTTCTTTCCTTTTCCTGAATTTGAACCACCGTCTCCATCGTCTCGCAATCGACACGCGAAGCCCGGGGCGATGGACCCGTTTACGGAGGTGAGGAAACCTGCGGGCGCAGCCGGGCATGACCCTCCTCGGCCCCCACCCGCCCTGCCCACCTCCTGTCAACCTCCGGGACCCCGGGCGGAGAGCGCGTGCGCAGAGCCTGCGTGCGGGTCCCGCGGGGGCCGCCGGGAGGGGCCGCGGGGCGCCCACCTCCGCGGGCCGGTCCGCGCTTTCCTGCGGTGAGGCCTGGGGAGGGAAGTGTAGAGTCCGTCCCGAAAGGTAGTGAGAGGCGCCAGGTCGGCCGGGTTGTTAAGGGAGCGCCCCCCGTGGAGCGGAGCCCTGTCCCCCCCGAGAGGGAGGGTGCGGTCCGACGGAGCCGGTGCCGCTGGGAGCGACGGCGGCTCGCCGGGCCGGGCGCCCGGGGCGGAGGCGGGCGCCCGGGTGACTCACGGTTGCGTGTCAACCGCCGCCGGGAAATGGAATGGAGTGGGGTTTGGGGGTCGGTGCGGCCCGCAGAGGAGCTGGGGGTGCCTCTCAGGATGCGGTTCCCGATGTAACAGTGTTGGAATGAGCTGGTGCCTGAGCCGCGGCCTCCGCTCCCGGAAAGCCCCATGGTTGCTGGGCTGGCCGGGGTGGATTTCCTCCCGCTGACCGTACACTGAAAGGGAAAGGGGTGGCTGGATGTGTACAAAGCAAGTTTATTAGCCAGGGTGGAGAAATGAACCTTTTTATGTGTGTTTGTGGACGACATCACAGCAGCGGTGCACTCCTCTTTGGTTCTGGGGGACTGAGCGCGGGTTTCTTTCATTCTTTCTGTGTGGTGATGGGTTCTGCAGCCTGGACCCGCGGAGCCCCTACGGTTCGGGGCTTTTCCTGTGGCCAGCTGTCCGCTCCCTTTTCTTCCTCTTTTTTAAGGTTGTTGCACAAGCTTCAAACTGTTGTTTTTTGAGTTTCTGCAAAGGGGATCTAAACATGTGTCTAAGAGTAGTTAATACTTTTTTATTTTTGAAAATGTAGTTACACTTCCATTAAGTGTAAAGTATTTAAAAGTTTCAACAGTTAGATTTTACTTGTTTTCAAACAAGACCTAGGGCATCTTTGGGAGCAAAAATTAATATAAGACACTGTCTTATTATATTTTCGGGGAAACAGGGTATAAACAGTACAAAGATTGAAATTTCTTTTGAGAGCCAAATTTTTAAACTTAAACTTCTTCTAACTCCACTTTTCAAAATAGACTTGCCCAGGCCATGGTATTTTGTGGAAGAGACATACTCAAGGGGCCAAGAGCTGCAGTTTGCTGACCATGGAGCTAGGGCAACAGTATTTTTTTCAAGTTCTCAATCAAAACACCAGTTTGCTTACCTTTTTATTTTTATTTTATTTTACTTTTTAAATCCTCACCTGAGGATATTTTTTTACCATTGATTTTTTTTTTTTTTAACCGAGAATAGAAGAAAGAGGGGCTGTTTACCTTACTTTTAAAAATTCTCACAAAAGCCGAAACCGGTTTGGCTCAGTGGTAGAGCGTCGGTCTGCGGACTGAAAGGTCCCAGGTTCGATTCCGGTCAGGAGCATGTACATTGGTTGCGGGCACATCCCCGGTGGGGGGTGTGCAGGAGGCAGCTGGTCGATGTTTCTCATCGACTTTTCTAGCTCTCTATCTCTCTCCCTTCCTCTCTGTAAAAAATCAATAAAATGTATTTTTTTAAAAATTTCTCACAAAAATCCAGAACACATCTTTGTATTAACTTTAAAGAATAAGGCTGGTCATGCATCATATTTTTCACTTAATTGAACTTCTAATGGATATTTTTTTAATGTTACTGACTTAGATTCCTTAAAACAGTCCTATGTGATCTGAATTTTTTTTTTTATTCCAAGTAACAGGAACAAAGCATTTTGAATGTTGGCTGAAAATATCACTTAAAAATGTCATTCTGAAGCAGTACAAATCTCAATTGAAAGAAACTTTATGTGAAAGAGACCTTTCATTTTAGCATGTGCTCAGAAATATGTATTGTTTAATTTGTATGGTTTGTATTATGAAAAGTTAGGTCCGTGGCAGTTGGGAGGCAAGAATTCTACCACTGAACCACCAATGCCCTTTGAGAGGTCCATTGCAGTTGGAATAAATGGCTTTGACATCTTTCCCTTAATTGGTAGTGAGTGAGCTATTTGAATTGGTTCCAACCAGTAGGTGCTTAATTCTAGCATTCATAACATTTTTGCACAGTGAAATGAACTGGCACACTGCCTTGTGTGAAAGGACTGAAAGTCAGTGGAAATGACTTTCTCCACGACCATTCTTATCAGAACCATAGAGCACGGGAGATGGAGAGGCTGTTTTCTCAATGTTCCCATTCCCTCCTGCAAGCAGAGCAGATATTTTATTCATCCTAGGGATGTCAGGGAGCCAGGGCTTACTTCTCCAGGTAACTCTGGTTGAGAAAGGCTACAGCTGTCCTAAACTCTGTTTTCCTTGGTTCTCCCTGCTGCCACTGGTGCTTTCTGGCACACTCTGGTGCTTTCTGGCACACTCTTCCCCCTGCTCTCTGCCTGGCAAACCCTGGCCTAGCCTCTGGCTCACACCGATCTCCCTGCTTCAGAGGAGAGGACACCTTTCACAGTGCTCAGCTCCCTTGCATTTTCCTTTTGAGCATGTTACTTGCTGGCTGTGAGTTTCTCCAAGGCAGGCCTGTTATTCCATTCAGAGCGAGTTTCCCTAACCTCAGGCTCACCCAGTAAGTGCTGAGTTAATATAGGAGAGAGCCATCGGTGCTGCTATTTTACCATCCAGTAATTACACACCACAACACACCACAGTAGCTGTAAAGACATTTTTGCAGTGTTTTCTAATAACATTTCAAATGACGCAGGCATGATAACCTTTCCTGCACCCATCACGCAGCAGCACAGGCAGTGTTTCACTGTGTGTGTGACCCCCCTCCCCCCCATCTTGTCCTTCCCACTGAATTATTTGAAAGCAAATTCTAGAGATCATATAATTTCAGACTTAAGTATTTCAGTGTTTACCAACAAATGCTAAGGACTTTAAAAGCAAAGCATCATCATGCCATCACAGTAACAGTTCCTTAGTATCAGGTATTCGTCAGTGTTCACATTTCCCTGTGTCTCATGCTTTTGCAGTTGACATGAATCAGGATGTAGAAAGATCTTTCAAGTTTTACATGGACCAGCTGGAAGTAATGACTCCATCTCGATTCATGGGCGAACAAGCAGTTTAAGCAGATGTTTATCATTATGATCTGATGTGATAGCTTTAAAAACATTATACTGATGATATGGAGTTAGTTCTCTGACGCAAGTTCTTTTTTCTTTTTTTTTAAATATATTTTATTGATTTCTTAGAGAGAGGAAGGGAGAGAGATAGAGAGCTAGAAACGTCGATGTGCCCGCAACTGACGTACATGCCCTTGACCGGAATCGAACCTGGGACCTTTCAGGCCGCAGACCAACACTCTACCACTGAGCCAACCCGGTTTTGACACAAGTTCTTAAAAATAACAATTGGGTTTTGTCAAAAGAGTTTATAGCCGTGGTCAGAAAACTGCGGCTCTTGAGCCACATGCGGCTCTTTGGCCCCTTGAGGGTGGCTCTTCCACAAAATACTACAGCCTTGGTGAAAAAGTGGCATTAGAAGTTTAACTTTAAAAAATTTGGCCCTCAAAAGAAATTTCAATCATTTTACTGTTGATATTTGGCTCTGGTGACTAATGAGTTTGCCGACCACTGGTTTATAGCAAAGTAAGATCCCCGACTCAGGAGCCCTTGTTTGAATTCTGTCTCTCCTTTCCTTAGCTACGTGACCTATGGCTTGTTAGGTAACCCGTGCCTGGATTTCTTCATCTCTAAACAGCAGGAAAGCCAGAGTCTGCCACAGAAGGTGGCTTTTGTTTTTGTTTCTAGGCTTTGAAAATAGTTAATGTGTGCAAATACTGGAAGTACTTAGATTAAATCCTACCTAAGTGATTGTGTACTGTGAGGTGAATTTAAAATGATACACTTACAACATTGGTGTTCCCCTCTTAATCTGAAGATCTGCCCACAGGTGATGGTCATCCCAGTCCAAGACGAGCATAGGGAAAGCAGGGCTGGGTGTGCCAAGTCAGAATTTTCTGTGGAGGAACCCTAAAAGAGAAAAGGCTATAATGAACGTTCCTTGTAAAACATCTTTTCTCGTGATAAAAATAAACAAATATGCTGTTACTGTTTTGAATGGAGTCTCTCTTATTTTCCAGAATTGTGACACTCTGTATTGACAAAGGAGGGAATGCTACTGGAGTACACTGAGAATAATAAGTTAATTTCTGCCCTAGCTGTTTTGGCTCAGTGGGTAGAGCATTGGCCTATGACCTGACCAGTCCCAGGTTCGATTCCAGTCAAGGGTACATGCCTGGGTTGCAGGCTTGATCCCAAGTAGGGAGCATGCAGGAGCAGCCAGTCATTGATTCTCTCTCATCATTGATGTTTCGCTCCCTCTCTCTTCCTCTCTGAAATCAGTAAAAATGTATTTTTAAAAAGTTAATTTCTATTGAATCTACTCCGTTTAAGAAGACAGGGAGTCAGTAATCCTTCCTAAGAAAATTTTTGTCACAAATGATTCAGTGTGTGTGGCAGACATTGCTTAGGTACTATATGCTTCTGTTATCTTAGATTCATCCATGTGGAGTATCTTATGTCCTGATTCTGTTAATTATCACAATGTTTTATTTTTTTTATTCCTCTACTGTTTGAAGGAATGTACGTTATAAACAAAAGAACCTTTAACTTCCTGATACACCATTATAAGTCACATTTACTGAGTTGTTTTTATATGTATATTATTTCTTTTAATAATCTTTGGTACTTATTAGTTTTTATTTTACAGACAAGGAACTTTTTTCTCTTTTTATTCATCTACTTTATTTTTAATTTGGAAAAATTTAGACCAAAGTAGACAATAGGGCAGTTATATACGTTAGAATGACACAACCACATTCTTTTGTTGTGACCCATTGCTCATAGTAACTGAAGGTACACTGACTCACAAGCATTCTAACAGCCTGGGATGGAATGTGGGCATGTCCATGAATGAATATAATTAGGCTAGCTTTGTCGGGGGAGTGATATATTTTATTGCTGGAGAAATGATCAGACATAAAATTTATCACTTTTGAGTTTATGCAAGACTTTTACTTAAAGGGGGAAGGTTTTGTGTTTTAGAAGGCACTTGGTTCATAAATCACCCTTTCTGTGGCAGAGCATTTAGACTTAGTGTCACTTTTTTAAATGAACTTTTTTTAAAAAATGTTTTCATTGATTTTAGAGACTTTTTTAAATGAACTTTTTTAAAAAAATGTTTTCATTGATTTTAGAGACAGATAGAAATAGAAGCATCAATCTACTGCCTCCAGTACACCCCCTATTGGTGATCCAACCCATAATCTGGGCATGTGCCCTGACTCTGTGCATAGGATAATGCTCAGCCAACTGAGCTTTAAGTTAGAAATCATCCTAAGGAGAGGAGAGTTGAGCTTTCTTCCCAATTTAGCTCATGCTTTAGAGGAATTAATAGCAATTGTTATTCGCTGAAACCAGTTTGGCTCAGTGGATAGAGCATCAGCCTGCAGATTGAAAGGTCCCAGGTTTGATTCCGGTCAAGAGCATGTACCTTGGTTGCAGGCACATCCCCAGTAGGGGGTGTGCAAGAGGCAGCTGATCGATGTTTCTCTCTCATTGATGTTTCTGACTCTCTATCCCTCTCCCTTTCTCTCTGTAAAAAAATCAATAAAATATATATTTTTAAAAATTGTTATTCTATTTTAATTAAGGAATTAAAAAGATCAGATGGAGTTTAATTTCGTAGTCTGCCAAGTAGATATCTGTGCTTGCAGGGCAGTATGTAAACTCCAGCCAGAAATCTGCACCCCGCACTCAGTTGCGTGCATTTGGCAGAGAATGAATTGTCTTATAGGTCTCGTGTTTATTTGCACAATTCAAACAGAGTTCATAAAAGTATTCATAATTCTATGAAATGGCTCAGCTTTCAGCATAAAATTTTATATTGACATTTATTCTGTTTAAAAAAAATATATTTTAAAATATATTTTATTTTAAAATATATTTTAAAATATATTCTTTTTTTAAAAAAATAAAATATATTTTATTTTTTACAGAGAGGAAGGGAGAGAGAGAGAGAGCCAGAAACGTTGATGAGAGAGAAACATCAACCAGCCGCCTCTTGCACACCCCCTATCAGGGATGCGCCTGCAACCAATTTACATGCCCCTTGATCAGAATCGAACCCAGGACCTTTCAGTCTGCAGGCCGACGCTCTACCACTGAGCCAAACCGGTTTCGGCTATATTGACATTTAATTAAATAAAACTAAGATTGTCTGGAGTATTTTTCCTCTTAGGAAGTGTCTTATGATTTCAGTTATCTCTTGCTGTTCGCCACCCCAGATCTTCATGGCTGTGTTAGTGCTGCTTCTGTACCAAATTACCACAGGCTGAGTGGCTCCGAACCACACCTTTAGCTTCTGTACGTCTGAAGTCTGATGGTTTTACTGGGTTAAACTCAGGGTGTTGGCAGGATTGGGTTCCTTCTGGAGGTTTTAGAGGAGAATTGATTTCCTTACTTTCTCTGGCTTCTGGCACCACCTGCATTTTTAGGGTCCTGTCCCCCTTTATCTTCACAACCGCCAATCACGGCATCCTGACCCCGGCTTCCCATGCCACCTCTTCGCTGCCTGAGTTTCCTGCCCCCCTTTTCCTTTGTAAGGGCCATTGTGATTACATCGGTCCAGATAATCCATGACGGTCTCTCCATCGCAAGCTTCTTAGCTTAGTCACACCGGCAAGCTTCCTTTGGCCACCCAACTTATTCCCAGGACATTTTCAGGACATTGGGATAGGAGCATCTTTGGAGACCATTGTTCTGTCCACCTGCCTTAGTGCTTAAAACAATGACCACACAATTTTTTTAAATATGTTTTTTATTGATTTTTAGAGAGAGGAAGAGAGACGAGAGAGGAGCATCCTCAATTGGCTGCCTCCTGTACGTCCCCTACCAGGGATGGAGCCCACAACACAGGCACGTGCCCTGACCGGTAATCGAACCGGTGACCCCTTGGTACGTGGGGCAATGCTCAATCCACTGAGCCACAGCCGGGCTTTATTCCCCTGTAATGTTCATATTACACCAGTAGTAATTTTGACATTGGGGTGCTCATTTATTGGGTCTTGAATACCTTATGATTTCACTTTTTAAATGTATGTAACTCTTTCCTGCATGGCAATTGGTGATTTTAGAAGTTACCTGCAGTTTTTGAGCCTTTGGCTAAACCGTATTTTAACATTATCTATGTAGAAACTACTTGAACGAACCCGTGCCAGGCGAGAAAATCTCCAGAGAAAGATGGCCGAGAGGCCCACAGCAGCACCGAGGACCGTGCCTCTCGCCAAGCGCACCAGAGAGCCGCTTGCAGAAGCCAGTAACCAGCAGCCCCTGTCCAGGGGGGAAGGTAAGACTGGGAGGTAACTGGATTCTTCCCCGGGCATGTGGAAGAATCAGCATGTGTGGGAGGCACACGTCGGCCCCTCTACATCAGGGTTCTGTTTTATGTTAGGTCTGGACCTACTGGCCCAGACAAGAGTTTCCTTTAACAAATAGTTCGAATTAATTGGTTGAACTTTATTTTCCTCAATCCAAACTTACTCTGAGTGTAGAATAGTCTGGCGATAATCCTTAACATAACTTTAAAACATGGGTAGAAAAAGCGGATTACAGAGATGAGGGCTTGGGACTGGCTTACAGTTATTTTGGGGACCAACCATAGAATGATAATTTATTTTCACATATTTATGTTGAAGGAAGGGAGGGGAATACGTTACATATACATGGTATTAGGCCAGGAAAATAGAGGCCTGGCTCAGTCCAGGATCTTCTGCTTTCACTGTGACATGGGTTTGTACATGCACATAGTGAGTGCTATGTGCAGAAAACCGGTGGTTGGGACCACATTTTGATGCTAACATGTAGGTATTGACTTTTTCACAAGAACTGTAAATGTAAAAAATTATTTCCTGGTGGTATTGCATGTTAAAATGGAAACATGTTAAAAATGATCAGGTAAGTCCATGGAAAATGAGTTACAGAAGAGGAGAAAGTTTCATGCTGTAGATTAAACTCTCATATTTTTACGTAGATGGATATTGATAAGGGCAGTCACAGCCTCTCACTGGTACAACTTTGGTCACTGCCAGAACAGGAATACTTGGTTAGACAACCAGTGAAACTGACATCTTAGGAAATTTACATCCCAACTTTAAAAAAAATATATATCAATTTTCCAGGAGACATTAAAACTCATTCCTGGGTTGAAGTCATATGCCTTATGTTTGGATCGCTCCCTTTTATTTCAGGACTTGCAATTTGTTTTCTTGGTGTTCCTGGAAGTGTAAAATGAGAAGTGTGGTTAAGCACTTGTGCTGATGAATTTGTTTGCTATTGATTAGAAAATTCCGTCACATTTTTGGTTCCCTGTCTCTTTCCTAAACCTCGAGCCAGGTGCCCTGTCCCCTTGACTTATCATTGTCCATGAAAGATTGTCTCAGAAACAGAAAGCCTGGTTTCTCCCTCAGCTCAGCTGCGTCCCTTTAGGCAGGGAGCTGCATTCCTCCAGCTTGGTTTTTCTTGTCTGCGAGTGAGGTGACTGGGCTGTGACCTTCAACAGGCCCCAGACCATTTGCTCATTCTGTGTGTGCACTTTAACTTCCTGCTCTCTTAAACTATGTAAAGTATTGTACATATAAATTGAGAGTGTTACTTTAATTTATTCTTACCCAGGTTTTTATATTTTTTTTTATTTTTTATTTTTTAAATATATTTTATTGATTTTCCACAGAGAGGAAGGGAGAGAGATACAGAGTTAGAAACATCGATGAGAGAGAGTCATCGATCAGCTGCCTCTTGCACACCCCCTACTGGGGATATGCCCGTAACCAAGGTACATGCCCTTGACCGGAATTGAACCCGGGACCCTTCAGTCCCCAAGCCGACGCTCTATCCATTGAGCCAAACCGGTTTCAGCCTTACCCAGGTTTTTTAAAATCATAAATTATATATATTTTAAATCTTTCATATCAGATTTCTAAGTTATTGAAAGTAGAATTTTACATATTTCTTATAAGTAAAATCATTGAAAGGATTAGAGAAACATGGTGTTTTATTAAGTTACGAAGTATCTCTGGCAAGTTGTGCTGTGAGAAAGTATGGAGCTTTGAAATTTTCCTCCTTTTTAATCTAGAGAAATCTTGTACAAAACCATCGCCATCAAAAAAACGCTGTTCTGACAACACTGAAGTTTCTAACTTGGAAAATGCACAACCGGTTGAGTCAGCTTCTGCCAAGCCTTGTTCTCCAAGTCCTGTGTCCCCTCAGGCGCAGCCTCAGGCACTGGCTCTGGCCAGTGATTCCCTGCCCGCCACACGGGCACCGCGGCTGGGCCAGCAGAGCGCGCCCGGCGCCAGGCCTGAGGCCTCTGCCGCCTCCTCCGTTAAAACACGGATGCAGAAGCTGGCAGCCCAGCGGCGCCACTGGGATAATGACGAGGTGACAGGTATGAATGACACGGTGGGATGTCCCTTAATCTGTCAGTAAGACTCACATTGGAATGTTGAAAATCGTATTTATCAGTTTACTCTTGAAGGCAACTGCTTTTGCTTTATCTATATCCCTGTGCGGTCACTTGCACATAGTTCACTTATCAGTAGTGTGTTTACCAGGTGTGGGGGTGCTGGAAGCACCACACTGAGGAAGGACTTGTTTTGCAGTTTCAACTTCAGGTGTGTTATCTGTAGTGTCTGGGGTTTAGCCAAAAGGAGGAAGGTAGTTGGTTAGAAAGTTTTTTTTTTGTTGTTTATTTATTTATTTATTTATTTAATATATTTTATTTATTTTTTATAGAGAGGAAGGTAGAGGGATAGAGAGTTAGAAACATCAATGAGAGAGAAAGACATCGATCAGCTGCCTCCTGCAGCTGGGGATGTGCCCGCAACCAAGATACATGCCCTTGACCTGAATCAAACCTGGGACCTTTCAGTCCAAAGGCTGATGCTCTATCCACTGAGCCAAACCCGTTTCGGCCGTTTTGGTTTTTTTAATTTGGATTAAGTATCATTGGATTTGAAAAGATATTGTCCCATTTAAACGGCTTGGTACTCTCCTGCATACCAGAGTGTTGGACTAGTTCTGAGCCTGTTAACCGCATTAACGATTCTGAATGGAGGGGTGCTGGTATGTGCACGGACAGTACATGCATCTCTTGAGCAGGGTCGTGAATTCTTTTTCTGAAAACATTTGCAGATGATACCCCTGAAAGCTCCCTCATCCCAGCGAAGCCCACGGAGGACAAGGCCGCCTCCCCTCCCAAACCAGCAGAAGCCTCAGCAACTCCCGTTGGGAGGAGGGGCCGTCTGGCCAACCTTGCAGCCACTATTTGCTCCTGGGAAGATGATGTCAGCCACTCATCCGCAAAGCAGAACAGGGCCCCAGGACAGCCTGGTACCACTTGTTTACCCGAAGCTTCCGCGGAGAGCGGAGCATCTGCTGGCATCAATGGCAGCAGTGTTGCGCAGGAAGCCGCATGCTGCTCCCCGCGGGGTGGCAATGCCTCTCTGAGGGAAGCGCCGGCCCCGAGAGCGGCCGCCTCCTTGCCTAAGGACGCCGTTTCCAGCTCTGCGGTGAGTGCACACAGCTTTCAATACAAAGGATCTTGCTGCTTATGTTATGAGAAATAATGTACATTCATGTGTAGGTATGTGTTTTTGTGACGTATCTGCAGTGCTTTGTTATTTTTAGAATATTGGTTTCATAGAAAGTAAAAGTCATAACTTTGGGACCTCCACCCCCACCCCAAGGTAAGTGAGCAGTTGAGAACTAGTGCAGCTCCAGAGTGCGCACTGTGACGTGACGGAGCCTTCATCAGGGAGAGCCCGGGAAACGACTTTCTCCGTCAGGGTACGTGTTTCTATAGGGACCAGGTAGCAGTTGTCAGCGGTGGATACAGTGCTTTCACGTGTCCTTTTGAAAGGTTCCCTTGTGCATGTGCTACCTCAACATTTAAAAAACTTGAAAAAAGAAAAAAGAAAAAGAAGGTTATGTACTGGGCACTGTCTTTGAGGGTAGAGCTGGGGTTTGGAATTAGCCTGCTCGCAGTCCCAGCCCTGCCTCTTCATTAGGAGTGTGGCCTTGGACAAGGCACTTGTCCTGCAGAACCTAGGGAAGGATTCTGGGGAGGGTGAAGCGAGGTGATGTGCATGGAGCACTTAGCATAGGCTTGGCACAGAGTGAGGACTTCACTTATTATCATTAGCCGTCAAGTACATGGTACAATAAAAACACACATATGTTTTTATTTACTTTAAAGGGGGAGAGAAACATGAATTGGTTGCCTCCCATAGCACCCCACCAGAGACTGTACCCACAACCCAGGAATCGAACTGGCAACCTTTCAGTGCACAGGACGATGTTCAGTTAGCCAATTAGCTAAGCCACACTGGCCAGGGCTGTGATATGATTATGATAAAATAATACTGACTTAATTAAAATACAAAAAAAGTAATTCAGTTTAACAGTTAATATCATAAATGTAATAGTGTGATACTATGAAAGAAATTGTTTTTAAAATAATGACTCTGTCCCTCATACTGAATTACTATCATTCTATTATGCAGGCTGAACTATTGATATACAGTATAATTTTTAATTGCAGCATTTTCCAAGTTGATTTTTTTTTTCCAAACCTGTCACGTTGGCTTGATCCTTAGGTAACAACAACGTTTTTTCATGAGTTTACATAGGACCAAGCAAATAGACTGCGTTTGTCTGTTATGGGACTGTCTCTAGGTATTGTGAGTGTTGTATTTATCCTAAGTGTTTTCATGTTTCAGAAAGCTTCTGCTTCCCCTGTGAAAGCTTCTATATCTCTCACCAATGCTAATAATTGTGAGGTACGAAAACCTGAGCGACTACAAAAACCTCCTGCTAGTCCTTTGAAAACTGAGGTATCAAAACCAATCGGGAAGTCAGCCGAATCCCAGACAGCTCGGCCCAAAGAAGAAGTAAATAGAGAAGCTTGTCTGCAGTCTCACTCTAAAGACAAATCTACAACAGGTTATGTATTTTTTAAAAATCTAAAGTTTTCGGGGCTTCTGTTCTCAGCATTTTAAATACCCAGTTTGAATGGTACAGTGTTGGTTTGCCAGGACAAGTGACGAATGCTCGGATGAGACGTCTTCAAATTCAGCTTTAAGTGGTAGAGTGACTGTTTATTAGTGTAGACAAATACAGTCACTGGTCAAGGTATTTAACCTGCTAACATCTAAGCAGTTTAAACATGTTTTTCCTTAGAGTGCTGTGCTAGATACTTTCCTCTGTACTTTTAAAAAATATATTTTTTTGTTGATTTCAGAGAGGAAGGGAGAGGTAGAAACATCATATCCCCTACTAGGGATCAAGCCCACAACCCTGGCAGGTGCCCTAGGGAATCGAACTTATGACCTCCTAGTTCATGGGTTGATGCTTAACCATTGAGCAACACCACCTGGGCATATACTGTTTACTTTCTGAATGAATAATCTTAGTGGAGTCAAAGCGCTTTGGAACTGTACAGGCATTTAGAACTTCCCCATAGAAATCATAATGGTTACTTATTCTGAAAAGCCCCAACAGTGTGGTGTTTTCTGTAGGAGCGGGAGTCAAGCCGTTTCTGGAGCGCTTCGGAGAGCGCTGTCAAGAACGCAGCAAAGACAGCCCCACACGGAGCACGCCCCACAGGACCCCTGTGGTCACTCCAAACACCAAGGCCATCCAGGAAAGACTGTTAAAGCAAAACACATCTTCATCTACTACCCACGTAGCACAGCGTCTCAAGCAGGTGCGTACATCCTACTGCCTTCACATTACCCATGCACGGTCTCAGCATAGAACTACGAAAGTCAAGTCGTGTATTCCCATTCCATTATTTTTGACTGATTAAGTAGCATCTTGGTTCTCTGTATTATGTATTTCAAATTAGAAATACAGTTGTCCTGTATTCCTTTATATTGTGACTTTTTTCCTCTTAAAACTGAAGATAAGCAAAGTTAGTAGTGTTTGGATATTATTTGTAAACCTTCTGTTGGCTCTTGTGTAAAATAGAGCTTTGGATGATTTTAGGAACGTGAAAAAGAACTAGCATGTCTTCGTGGCCGATTTGACAAGGGCAACTTATGGAGTGCAGAAAAAAGCGAAAACTCGAGAAGCAAACAACTGGAAACCAAAGAGGTAACTTAAACAAATAGGCGAGTGATGATGAAAAGAAGAAGGAAAGCTCTGGCTCCAGCCAGGCCTCTGTGGGCGCAAATAAAGTGCCTGATTTAATCCTGATGATTTAATCCTGACACTAACCCTGGAAGGTGACCCTGCCCCCTTTTCTGGGAGAGGGAGGTAAATCACCCATGCAAATGCACACTGGTGCGTGGGCAAACCAGGTCTTCTAACCAGACCCTCTGCCCCCGCCGCCTCCTTTACCGCCATGTTTATTCTTGGGCCCCAATGGAAGGATGCGGCTCGGTGAGTTTGTCTGGCGCTGTGTTTTCAAAGCTATGATTTACACCTTTGAGAATGAATGATGTTGCTTTCCATTACCACCACTCATTTTTCAGTTACTCAGCTAACGTTTGAGTGCCTACTGTATACAAACCCCCAAAGCTCTTTACTCTCCAGGTGCGCTCAGCCATTCTTCTCACTTCTGACATGTACTGCCCTGCCTTCCTCTCCTCAAACTTCTTGCTTATTCTACAGTCTGCAGCACAGTAGTGGATAATGTGCTGTGTGTGTGTATCGGGTCTAGTAATGCTTAATGTCGTTTTTAAACATTCATTTAAAATCTTGCTTGGCGTTGACTTGTATTGACATAACCTTCAAACACGTGGTATCTACAGAACGTGTGAAGTGCAATTAACAAGTTTTGCTTGAAAAAGTTTGTGTTTGGTTTGGTTTTTGTTGCAAAACTAGGGCTAAGAAGATGGCGGATGAAGAGCATATTCGGCACTGCATGCTTTACGAGTTCCAATTAGGAAGAAAAGCAAGTGAGGCTGCAAAAAACATCTGTAGTGCTCTTGGTCAAGATGCAGTTAGCGCCAGAAAATGCCAGCGTTGGTTTGAGAAATTTCGCGAGGGAAATTTTTCGTTAGATGACAAGAGTGGTCGAGGCCGTGTGTCCAATTTTGATCAAGAAGCTCTTCAAGCTCTTTTGGTGCAAAATCCTCAAATTACCCAACAAGAGCTTGCGACAAGTTTAAATTGTTCACAAAAAACAATTTCCAATCAATTGCGTGCACTTGGCAAAGTCCAAAAGTTTGGAAAATGGGTTCCTCATGAGTTGACCGACAACAACCGTAATCAAAGAGTCACAATTTGCAGTTCGCTCCTCTCTCGTCAAAACCGTTTGCCGTTTTTAGAGCAAATTGTTACCAGAGATGAAAAATGGGTGCTGTATGTTAATTTGAAAAGGCGGCCTCAATGGTTGGACAAAAATGAGGCTCCGCAGCCCACGCCAAAACCTGACTTGCATGCGAAAAAAGTGATGTTGTGTGTTTGGTGGAATTTTAAAGGAATTCTTCATTATGAACTTTACCATCTAACCAAACCATTACAAGTGCAGTGTATAGTGCCCAATTGGAAAGGTTAGCCCAAGCTTTAGAGAAAAAGAACCCGCGCTGATTAATCGGAAGGGCGTAATTCTTCACCACGATAACGCACGACCGCATACTGCAAGAATCACTGCTGAAAAACTGCGCCAGTTGGAATGGGAAGTTCTCCCTCAACCTGCATATTCTGATATTGCCCCTTCCAATTACCATTTGTTTCGTTCTTTGCAAAACTTTCTTCTTGGAAAAAAATGTAATAATGAAGAATGCCTCAAAAATGCATTGACCGAATTTTTTGCATCAAAATCACAAGAATTTTACAACAGAGGGATTAAAATGCTTCCTGAGCGTTGGGCACAAGTAGTAGAAAACAACGGCAACTATATTGTTGATTAAATTTTGTTGTATTGTTTAAATAAATTTGATTTTAAAAAGTATTAGAAAACGACATTAATTATTACTAGACCTAATACATCAAACTGGCTACTAGCTGTGTGTGCAAGTTACTTAACTCTTCTGTCTCAGTTTTCTCATCTGTAAAATGGAGACATTAGTACTGATCCTAGAGAGTTATTGGGAATATCAGATGAGGCAATGATATAAAATAGTGTATAAAATAGATATAAAAAGTGTATAAAATAGAAAGATGACTGACACATGTGAAGCTCTATGGCAGTATTCACTGCTGTTCTTATTTCTACTCGTGGCCCTAATCACAACCTTTTCAAAAGCAAACAATGAATGTTTCTCTTGCATAACCTTATAATTATTTAATAAATGACTCAGATAAAGGAATATTTTTCTTCTTTTTTTAAAAAAAATGTCTATTGATTTTAGAGAGGAAGGAAAAGGGATATAGAGAGAGAAATATGAATGAGAGAGAAACATCTATAGGCTGCCTCCAGCACCTCCATCTCTCCCCCCAACCCCCTCAGGATTGAACCCACAACCCTGGGCGTGTGCCCTGACCAGGATTGATCCAGTGACCTCTTAGTTCATGGGTTGACACTCAACCACTCAACCACATCGGGTAGACCTCTCTTTTCCTTTTCTTATCATCTGTTTTTGTCCTGTGTTGTTTTCGTTGCATTTACCCACAGAGTAACTGGTAAGTGGAACCTGGGGGGAGGAACTGTCCTAGCTGTTGTTTTTTGTTAATCCTCACCTACGGATATTTTTCCCCGTTGGTTTTTAGAAAGGGCGGAAGAGAGTGGGGAGAGAAAGGGAAAGAGATTCACCGATTGGTTGCCTCCCTCACTGTTCAGGGCTGGGGCTTGAACCTGAAACACAGGTTTGTACCCTTGACTGGAATTGAACCCAGGACCCTTCAGTCTGCGGGCTGATGCTCTAACCACCGACAACCGGCCGGGGCGTCCCTAGTTTTACAGATGTGGGCTGTGATGAGTGACACAGGAGCTGTTTCCTTCACACCTGATTTCACGGGAATCTGTTTCTCTAAAGCTGAACCTGATGCAGATTTCCATTCTCCCTGCCTCCTGGTCCCAGTGACTCATGTCCTGAGAATCCCAGAACACGAACTCTGAACTGTCTGTTTTGTTCTGAGGAAGCTTATTTAGAGCAATGACTGTGGTTTGTTTCATTTAAGGACCCACAGAAAGACAAAAGTCTGTTGTTTTGAGGAGTAAAATGTATCTCTTTGCTTTTTGCAGGAAATTCACTCTCAGAACACTCCCCTCAGAAAACATCAAGTTGTTTCAAATACCCCGTCAGGTCCAGTAAGAGAAAAGGAAAAGGCGGCAGGAAAGCAGACTCCAGCGCAGCCCCCCAGCCCAGAGCCCGCAGGTCTGTGCTTCCTCCCTTACTTCACTCTCTGGAGCTCTCATCCGCCAGAGTTCTGGAAACTGGGTTGGAAGTCAGAAATGCTGCTCTAGTGTAGAAAGGCAGATCCGTTCCCTCATGTCCACCACTTGCCTCTTCTGGCCACGCTCTGCTTCTCTCAGTGCTCTTTCCAGAGTGAGAATTCAGCCTCTTGGCACGAGTGTGAATATTGCAACTTGTAATATCTGTTGAACTGTGAGGTGTGCATGCTCTTTAAGTCAGCTTCTCTCCAAGTGTGTGCAAATTGGAACCAGTGTGCAAAGGTGCACTGTGTGCAAAGAGATGATTGTGGCCACGTGTAATGGTAATACATGACACGACCTAAGGCAGTCAGCAGCAGCTTTAAGTAAATGTGCTAAACCCATGTAATCACATGTGCCCCTGCTGGACGGCTTCCGAAGCTTTGCTGAGTGGAAGTGGTGAGAGTGGCTTCTTTGTTTTGTTCCTGATTTTAGAGGAAGAGCTTTCAGTCCTTCACAGGGGATAGTGTTAGCTGGGGGCTTTTCATATAATAGAAAGGGGTCTAGACCTAAGGGGTTTAATATATCTTTATGCTGAAAGTGTTACAGATGTCCCTTTGTTTCCCCTATTGATACTCTCCACCCTGCACCCTCTTTCAGTGTTTTTATCAGCACTTTTTTAAAGAAGTAAAAAACAAATTGCAGAACAGCATGAAAGTGTGACACCTGCTGATAAAATAAAAGGCTACTCACTTAGATCCCCACAGGGGGAAACTGGAAGAGCAAACCATAGCCTGGTCTGTGTCCCTTCCTCCTAGAGAGAGAAATGGGGAGGTAGGGGAGGGCAGGTGTTTGTGGGTGTTCTGTACATTTCTAAATGTGAAATGCAGTTTTGTAATAAAAAAGATACAGAAGATTCTATAACCAAAAACTTCCAGGTTTTTAAAATATTAATGTGGTTTTCCCTAAAACTTTTTTAGGTTTCACTGAATGTGAAATGACGAAGTCTAGCCCTTTGAAAATAACATTGTTTTTAGAAGAGGAAAAGTCTTTAAAAATAACATCAGACCCAAAGGTTGAGCAGCAGACAGGTTGGTTTTTATTCTTTAGTTCTTACTAGCACTTAACATATTATGAGAAATAATATAATAGTAGAAGCACATATTCCACTATATGCTGTTCTATATTTCTTTTTAAAAATTATTTTTAAATTGATTTCAGAAAGGAAGGGAGAGGTAGAGGAGACAGAAACATCAATGATGAGAGAGAATCATTGATCAGCTGCCTTCTGCACGCCCCCTACTGGGGATCAAGCTCACAACCTGAGCATGTGGCCTGACCAGGAATCAAACCTTGACCTCCTGATTCATGGGTCCATGTTCAACCACTGAGCCATGCCAGCCAGGCCAGTGTTCTATATTTATAAGTGGTTTGTGGTTTTATAATACTCTCTCTCTTTTTTAACTACGAAGAAGTACTCTAGCCTCCACAGAGATAGAGGACTGAAACAGTTATCTTTAGGTTACGGACCCTGTGAAAACATGGTCGAGCCTACGCTCGCCTGTCACGGGAGGGAGTGCACAGCCTGGCACCTCCATGTACTGTCGGGGAGCTAGTGGCCCCAAAGGCACCTGTGAATCCTACTCTAGGTGACTCTACTGTTTCCTGTTGGTGACTCCTTCCTCCAAGGCCAGCTCCCACCATAGGAGAGTCATTTGAAAGAACGTGTTTCATACATCTGGACCTTTTGGCTCTAATCCTGGGTTCTTAATAATCTTTCTAAAAATAATAATAATAATAATAATAATAATCTTGCTCACCCCCAAAGCATTGGATCAGCTTTTGATAATTTCCACTTTGTTTGTTTACTTTTTGGTCCTTCTAGCGTAATCGAATTTTTCCACTTTTATTGGTATGAAAATATTACTAGGAATTTGAAAATAATTTTGGTTTCATGTGTTAGTAAATTTTATTATTTTTTGTTTAGGAGGTGCTTTTCTCAGGGCTTTCCCTCGTTTACTTAGTAAGCATGTGAATGTTAGATTTTTTTCTGCTCTACCTCTAATTTTTAAAGGCCTGAATCACAGCATCCACCTATTGAAATATCTTTCAGAAGTGGTACGTGAAATCGAGATGAGCGTGGACGACGAGGATGACATCAATAGTTCGAAAGTGATTAATGACATCTTCAGTGATGTCCTGCAGGCAGGCGAGCTAGATGCCGCCAGGAGCCCAGAGCAGCTGGGCCAGGCGGGAGCCGAGAGCGGGGAGGACCAGGAGGATGGGCTGAATATCTCCTCGATGTCGCTGCTCACTCCGCTGGCACAGACAGTCGGCGTGATAAGTCCAGAGGTAAGAAAAGAGGAACCAGGCTTAGGGCATGAAGAAACCAAGAGGCATTGGGGTCCCCTGTTGTTTTAGTGGGTACATGGGGATTTAGAACTCTGGAGCCAGGGGAGTCTGCAAACCTGACTTGAATGCTCTTGAAAGAGAGCTTAAAAGTCCTCCGTGGTTCCTTTGGCCTTAGACAGAATCCAAACTAACATGGGTAAAGGCCAGGCATTGGGGCCCAAATCCTGGCTCTATCAGTTCCTGATGTTTATTGGCCAGATCATTAACCCTCTGTCACGTCCACTCATCTGTTAAATGTGGTTAAAAATAGTACCTGCATCTTAGGGTTGATGTGAATATTAAGACATATTAGTATTTTGGTACTTAGCACCAGACAGATAACTAACATTTATGAGAGCGAGCTATATTATTAGCTATCATCCTGTATTGAATAACTGCAGCTTTGTTTGGAAATTGATTAAATTAGAACTATTTCTAAAGAGAGTTATGAATGTAGGTTTTAGCTATCTTTCAACTTTTATTTATTCTTTAGAAATTTGGTTTAGTTTTTGTTTTTACGATGAATCAGTTGACTTGTACGGATATTTATTTCCTCATATAGAGAAGAATTCACTGGTCCCTCAGAATTATTTAGAATCAGTGGCATCCATAAAACCTATTAATACCCACTGTTTCCCTGCAGAGTTTCGCTTCCTCGCCTAGATTGGAACTGAAGGGCAGTAGCACACATGATGAGAGTCCAAAACCAGGAAAGTTCCAGAGAACCCGTGTCCCGAGGGCTGAATCTGGGGATAGCATTGGTTCTGAGGATCGTGACCTTCTGTACAGGTGAGAACGTTTGGGGGAGGCATTCACTCACTGAGGGTCATGGTTTCGATGGATACAACAAGTTGGATTCTCTTGTAATTATGTTACTAATAGTTAACTTGCCAAAAACTTGGGAATCACTTCTGTCAGCTTCTCTTTCCCCCAGTGGCATATCCCATTCTGGTGAAGTGTCTGCTGACATGTTGCAGCAGCAGTATCCAGTTCTGCTGAAATGCTGAATAAAAGATAGTGCTAGTGTGTTGCTAGATTTCTAACAGAGTGTAACTGTTTCCTGAAGCATCGATGCATACAGATCTCAGAGAGTCAAAGAAACAGACCGTCCTTCAATTAAGCAGATTGTTCGGAAGGAAGATGCTACTTCAAAATTGGAGGGGAAAAAGAATGCTGAAGAAAAGAGCATCTTTCCTTGTCAGGTTAACGTCAAGCAGAAAATGCAGGTGTGTACTTCCCTGGACGGGTGTGTGGTGGTTCTTTCACGAGACTGAGCTTGAGCATGAGGCCCAGCCTTTCCCTCTCTGTGCCCTGAGGGCCTGGGACAGTGTCTGACGCCTGACACCCTGATCTTAGCAGTTGCTCTTGAATTCAGTTTAATTGGAGAAAGGCTCTCTTTATTAGGAAAGTTGGAAGCTTGTTTGATATTATTGAAATATTTATTTTTAAACATGTTTGTCCTAAATATCCTTAAAGTGTGACTATAAATTAGATGATGGTGAAATGTGCAATTTATTTTGTTCTAAATATTCTTTTACTATAAGGAGGACTTTAAAAAATTGCACCATACATGCAGTTTAAATAAAATGAGTCAAATAATATCTGTCTTTAGACTGGGATGCATTTGAAATCATGCAACTGTGCAGAGTATGCTAAGAATGAATATATGAATATATTTATATCCCCATACATCCCCACACTCCCTCTGTACCTTCCTATCCATCTGTAGCTAAAAAAGGATGTGACTTTGTTGGGCATGGCCCCAATTATAATTTTAGTAAGTATGAGTTGAAAATCTTCTCGTAAGGAAGAATGTTGGTAGTGTAATTATTACAGTATGTTAAATGCTCTTGGTGCAGAGTTAGAAACTTGAATGGTGAAATTTGGACTTTCTGGAAATTTTGGAAATTATTGAATCAGATTGGTTATAATCCAAGTTTCAGTAAGTGAAAGTGGTGACTGAGGATGTGGGTTTTCTCTCCTCTCGTGGGTCTCACCAGGAACTCAACAACGAAATCAACCTGCAGCAGACGGTGATCTACCAGGCCAGCCAGGCCCTTAACTGCTGTGTGGACGAGGAGCACGGGAAGGGGTCCCTGGAAGAGGCCGAGGCGGAACGGCTGCTTCTGATCGCAAGTGCGTGAAGCCCAGGCAATCCCAGCAGGCTCAGCCAGGAAACACTTCACCTCGAATGGGCCGATACTCTCTAATTGTAGAGACAGGGCCTTTTCTGATAACCTGGTTCAGTGCATCTCCTTTTTGTTCTGGATAACGTCTGTGGCTACCCGCCATGCGAAAGGAGATGTAGTTTGCATGAAAGGACAAAAGAAAGGGAAAGCGTTTGAAGGCATGCAGTTGGTGCAGAGTATGCTGAGAATGAATGTATGGATATATTTACATTCTCATACTCTCTCTGTACCTACCTATCTATCTGTAGCTAAAAAGGGTGTGAATTTTGTTGTGTGGGTTTGTACATGTGGTGATGAATGGTAGAAAGATTATACCACACAAGAAAACTGACCAATAGTGGAAGCATTAAATTATTGGAACTTGGTAAACAGATGACCAATTAAGGTTTTTCCCAACTACCTCTACCTGTTTATATAAAGGAAGTTACTGATTTCGTCTTTGGGCTTCTGTACTGTTGCCACATAATTGGTCTCATTTAGAAACAGTTGCAACTTTTAATATTTGAAATATTAACTTGCATCATTTTACACAGCTGAGAAGAGAACACTTTTGATTGACGAGCTGAATAAGCTGAAGAGTGAAGGACCTCAGAGGAAGAATAAGGCTGGTCTCCCCTGCCAGAGTGAATTTGTCCCGTCCAAAGGGTCAGTCACTTTGTCAGAATTCCGTTTGCCTCTCAAGGCAGATTTTGTCTGCAGCACAGCTCAGAAACCAGGTACAGAGATGTTCTTTTGCCTGCCTTCTAGATCGTATGTGTGATTTGAGCCTCACCTCGCTTAGAGCTGTGAGAATGGGAACCATTGGAGAGCGTGCATGAAGCTACAAAGCTCGTGCCATGGGTCTTTTAGATCCTTTTGTGAAGCTGTGTGTAAGAATAACCAAGGACAGTTCAGATGGGAGCTCGCTGTTCCACATAATAACAGACAAAGCTCTAACTGAAAGTAAGGCTAGTTAAACATAACTTTGAACATAAATCATTTTCCTGAAATGAGCTATCCTGACATAGCAATCAGTTTCGTTAATTTTATTGTGGAAAGTATTTGGGGCATCTAAAATGACTCGTTTTACTTACTTTATTCTATGTGAAATTCATCTCATTATAGAAATTTCTATAAATTCTGAATTTATAGAATTTGGGGGAATGAAGAGCCCCACAGTGGACATAATTGTATTGAACTTTTATTCCCTTTGCCCCTCTAAATTGAATAAGTAAACTTTTCTAAACTACATCATCTCCTAAAAGTCATTATTAGCAGTGGGTAAAGGAAAATATGGCACGAGGATCTGAAGACAGGCAGGGTGATTATAGCAAGCTTAAGAAAATGAACATTTAATAAAGTTCAGATTCTTTTTAAGGTTTCTTCAAATATTTGTGCGAAACATTCTTTTTGAAAGAGAGGAGGCCTAGACTAGGTGAAAAGTGAATTTGAAGTGCGGGGGAAAGTAAAGAAGGGACCTTTATTTATTTATTTATTTTTAAATATATATTGATTTTTTTTACAGAGAGGAAGAGAGAGGGATAGAGTTAGAAACATCGATGGGAGAGAATCATCGATCAGCTGCCTCTTGCACACCTCCTACTGGGGATGTGCCCACAACCAAGGTACATGCCCTTGACCGGAATCGAACCCGGGACCTTTCAGTCCACAGGCCAACGTTCTATCCATTGAGCCAAACCGGTTTTGGCAAAGAAGGGACCTTTAAAGATTTGAGCATTTTGGCAGGAAAGAGGTGGCCTGGGTTCTAATTCTTGTGTTGTCCGGTTTTGGTGGGCTGTGGGCAGAAACCTGTTGGCCATTTTAATGTGTATCTTGAAATCTGTGGTTAATTAATGATAAATAGTGAAAAAATAGTTCATGTTTTCATTAGAATTTATCTCTGAGGAACTTTCACAAGTATAGTACTTTGATCTCAGTTTTGAAATACAGTAGTACATAGATACGTGCTCAGGTACATAGCATTGAGTTGTATACTGTTAGCTCAAGAACTAGGGGTCACTGGGTAAAATGCGAAGCCAGCAGAATTTGAGGGGTGTGGCGTGAAGTTATTGCTATTCCCATAGTGGGAGAGCCCGTGATGAGGCTTGTTTCAGAATTAGAACCATCTGCTTATGTCTTACTTACCTTTGTGTCTGGAAAGTTGACTTTGGAAAATTTTCAATGAATTTTATGTAAATCAGTGCAGTATTCCCGTATTCCTCTGGTCTTCGAATAATGGTTACCTAAATCCAATTCTGCTTTGTCTGATTCTGTGATGTGATTCCTTCCTGCAGATGCAGCAACTTACTCCTTCCTGCTCATCCTGAAGGCGGGCACCGAGAACATGGTGGCCACCCCGCTGGCAAGCACCGCCACTTCTCTGAACGGCGATGCCCTGCCCTTCTCCACCACATACACTCTGTGAGTAATCAGGCGGTGGGCGGCGCACCTTTCCCTCCAGTAGTTATGCAGTCTAAGCACACAGGTGGGCTTATACCTGGGAAGTGCAGAATAGTCATTCTTTTTATGTGCTCACATGACTCAATTGGTTGGTTTAACTCTTCTGTTTCTGACATTTCTTTCTATTGAGTAGAATGCTGCTTCCATGTGACTGTAGGGGTTTAACGTTTTGAAGTATTTTAAAATGTGTATGTGTGTAAATATACATATGCCTATAAAAATATTGATCATATTTTTTACGTATGCTTTAAATCTCATTATGTACTTAATATCCAATCTCAGTGAGAGAACATATTTAGTGTTACAGACTTATTTTGAAACAAATCAAAATTGAGTTTGAAAAAAATTACCCTTATTATTGAAGATGTTGAGCTGTAAATTACTAAAGAAAATATTTGACTTGTATTATAGGAAAAAGTTGACTGATCTTACCAATTTTTATATTCTTAAGTGGTTGATAGCTATTGTCTTTAGTTGAAATGCAGTGAATGCTTTTGCTCTCAGAGTCTTTTAACGGTGTGGTGGCATCTTCCTAAGCAATATCTTGGTATTTTCCTTATAGTTTTAATGCTTTGTGTTTTCAGGGAAGATGTGTCCAATGACTTTGAAATCAGTATTGAAGTTTACAGCTTGGTAAGCAGTTAAAGCTCTCTAAAATAACTAGTAGTATATTGTCTTAAAGGTAACAGATTTAAACTAGTTATGCTTTCCATTTGTGTATTAGGTGCAAAAGAAAGATCCCTCAATGCCAGATAAGAAGAAAAAGTCATACAAATCCAAGGTGAGGATGAAAGAAACCCAGTAAATTATAATAACCAGAAACCACAGATCCAATACTAGTTTCTATATGTATAATTTTTAATGACTATCAAGTTTTTGGACCATTTTATGCCCCAAATTTCAGGTACTGCATTTCATAGGTATGAGCACTGACATAAACTTATAATCCTAAGTATAGCTCCTCAGGCACTCGGCTTGGTGATTCTGTTTTCTGTTATTTGACAGCTTACTTGTATTACCCCTTTGCCTTCCCAGCCTTCCCTGGAGTCTGATCTCTATGTCCTCTGCACTGGGGCTTAGCAGAGGTGTGGGGACAGGACTCCAGCTGGCTTCTCATTCTTCCTGCTTTTTTGCTCTTCTGTTCTTTTTCAAGCTATCACTTAAAATAATTTTATTTAGCTTAAACAGAGAAAGAATGACAGTATGGCTAATTCCTTAATAAAAGATTCAAGAATATTCATGTTTAAGGATTATTTTCTATGGGGGAATGTCTTAAGATTGGTTATTTTAAAACTCTAAATTGTAATGTTTAATAGAAAATATTCTGATGTTTTCTTTTAGGCTATCACTCCAAAGCGACTTCTCACATCTAAAACTACAGTAAGTAGAATTTTTAAAAATTGAGCCTCCTTGTGAAATCTTCCTGTTACACATATGATTGTGAATTGGTTAACCATTTCTAAACTCTTAGCACTTTGGAAATCTTTAAAATATACTACTGGGGGAGGGGAAGACCTCGTATTTATGTAGAAAACAATGTGTTCTGAAATGCAGTTCTTGCAGTGTTAAAGAGTTTTGTATTTAATATTCAAATCTTTATATCTAATCAAGAAAATAACTTGTTCTTCTTCACACTCTTTTTTAGAAAGGCACCCTTCATTCCTCAGGTGAGTGGATTTTGAACTGTTGGAAACACTAGAATAAGGAAAAGAGCCAAGCAATTGCATAATCACACGTGCAGCCTTCTCGGTTGATGGGTGTTCAGCATAGTCTTCTTGGAAAGATGTGTTCTTTGTGGTTGAGCACCACGTGAGATTTCTGTCCGGTCGCTGTTGTCAGATGCCACACCTCTCTCAGGCCCTGGCAGCAGCCCATGAAGCCGGTCACGTGACCTCTGCAGCGGAAGCAGTGCCCGTCACCGGCTCATGCTGCCCTGCTGTCAGCATGTGGAGTTGACCTCTGTTAGCTTTGCTGACAGTGACTGGCATTGAGTCATGTCAGAAAAGCAACTTCCTAGCACAGGGGATCTGGGGTACCCGTAAGCTAGGGAAGGGCCTTCTATTATAGAATGGCTTTAGACAGGGGTTAGGGTTGAGTTAGTTTTTCTCACCTCCTTTGGGCTTTTGGTCTCTTCTTTGTACAGAGTAATTAAGAAGCACCGTGCAGCAGCATCTTTGCTGCTAAGTATGCCACCTAGATTATGGCAATGGGGTCTTCTTTCTCATTCCTATGCATTTTATATACACATTTTAAGGTTCTGTATCTTTAAAAACCTGCCTGTCCCAGATATTCAGATGTGCCTAAACTCTACTACAGTTAAATATAAGCTACCTAACAGTTTGCTGTCACTAGCAAATTTGATATTTTTCCTTCTTATTTGGAGATGGAGGGAAATGCAGTTTTCTCTGGGGCAGGTGAATGTCATTGTGTTGGGGTGAGGTGAGGAATGATTTGCACTCAGGGAAGTCGCTCTGAACTAAGCGCCAGCCCTCTCTCTCCAGTGATGGCCAGCCCGGGCGGGCTCCATGCTGTGCGCACCAGCAACTTCATCCTTGTGGGATCGTACACGCTGTCCTTGTCTTCAGTAGGAAACACCAAGTTCCCCCTGGACAAGGTAACCCTTATTTATTTATGTATTTATTTATTTTTAGAAAAGTTAGGTCAGTGGAAATGCTCCAGTACTTTCAAGTCTTAAAATCTTTGACTGAAAGTGTGTGTTCTTAGAATTGTACATTTTAACGAGGCATTGTGTACCTACATGATATGTTTTTTGATGTTGGAAATATTTTTCTCTTGTATCTTAACAGTTAAATCCTGAAAGTACTGCATGCAGATTTATTCTAAATGTCAGTTTTGATTAAAGAAGTGTTACTTTTTTTTTTTTTAAACTGAAAGTGGAACTTACCACGATCCTTTTTTTTTTTTTTTTTAATATATTTTATTGATTTTTTTTACAGAGAGGAAGGGAAAGAGAGAGCTAGAAACATTGATGAGAGAGAAACATCGACCAGCTGCCTCTTGCACACCCCCTAGCGGGGATGTGCCCGCAACCAAGGTACATGCCCCTGACCGAAATCAAACCCAGGATCTTTCAGTCCGCAGACCGACGCTCTACCACTGAGCCAAACCGGTTTCGGCAAGAAGTGTTACTTTTTTTTAAGATGTATTTTTCAATTACAGTTAACGTACAATATTATATTAGTTTGTGGTATACAACGTAGCAATTAGACATCTATATACCTAATGAAGTGATCCCCTGATAGGTCCAGTACCTGTCAGAAGCCATACCTGGTTATTACACATTATTGACAATATTCCCTGTGCTATACTTCACACCCCTCTGACTGTTTTTATTAACTGGACGTATTACTTCTTGCTCTTAGATGTTAAGCTTACAGTTTTAAACAGTCACTTGCCCATTGGAACCCATACTTCAAAATGAATAGTAGTTTTATAGATTTAGTGTTTTTTAAAATATGGTATATATATTTTTATTGATTTCAGAGTGAAAGGGAGAGAGAGAGAGAAACATCAATGATGAGAAAGGATCATTGATTGGCTGCCTCCTGCATGCTCCTCGATCTGGGGATCGAGCCTGCAAGTTGAGCATAATGCCCTTGACCGGAATTGAACCTTCAGTTCACAGGCCAAGCTCTATCCACTGAACCAATCCAGCTAGGCCTATAGATTTAATTTATATAAGATAGGGAAAGACAGGTTAATTTCTTAGACAAGTACCCAGGAATCTAAGGGAGTTCCTTCCCACACGTTCCTCCCCAAGTTTAAAACATCAGCATTTAGATCTGCGTAATATCACTGAGTGCTTTTCACCATAATGTGAGATGACTAAACTTTATTAACTAACAAGACCATTTTAAGGAATGAGAGAACTAGCCGGGACCGGTGTGGCTCAATGGATAGAGCGTCGGCTTGGGGACTGAAGGGTCCCGGGTTCGATTCCGGTCAAGGGCATATACCTTGGTTGCGGGCACATCCCCAGTAGGGGGTGTGCAAGAGGCAGCTGATCGATGACTCTCATCGATGTTTCTAACTCTCTCTGTACAAAATCAATAAAATATATTTAAAAAAAGAAAAAGAGAGAATGTATCATCTCAATAGATTGTCTTAAAAAAAAAAAAAGGAATGAGAGAACTAGAAGTAAACTTAATTCTTGGGTTGTCCCCTGCTTCATAACTCAGGGGAATTTTTAAATATTATAAGAGATTTTTGTAGTTAGAATATAGAGATGTGCCTAAACCAGTTTGGCTCAGTGGATAGAGCATCAGACTGTGGACTGAAAGGTCCTGGTTTCGATTCCCGTCAAGGACATGTACCGTGGTTGCGGGCCCATCCCCAGTAGGGGGTGTGCAAGAGGCAGCTGATCGCTGATCGAGGACTCTCTCTCATTGATGTTTCTGACTCTCTGTCCCTCTCTTTTCCTCTCTGTAAAAAATCAATAAAATATATTTTAAAAATATATAGAGCGATGAAATATTACACATTAGGAGGCCTAGTTAGTGTTGGTCCTGCTAGGAATTTCCTCTTTAACATTGAGCAAAGGTACTTCATTTCTCGTAGCTTTAGAATTCCATGAAATCTTTCTTGTGCAAAATCGTTTAATTTAACTGGTTGTCTTTAATACTCTAACGTCTCTTTCACATACAACACAATTTTGATGTCAGATTTGTCTCAAATGTACTTTTGTAAGTGCCAGGGGAAAACAAATACTTGTTCCAATTGTTTGACAGACTATATTTGAAATTTTGATTAATGCGTAAGTTTATTTTTTAACATATTTAAAAGATTCTTGTACCTTTTTATTTAGTGATTCAGCTAGTTTAACAAATTGAGTGATCTTGGGTTTTTTATCTCTTTGTCTTTTATTTTGTTTGTTTTAGATAAATTATGATGTAAAAGAGCGAGAGCTACTGGGCTATTTGTTCCAGGAAAAGGTTGCAATTTTTTCTTTGCTTGAAACTAACAAGCTTAAAAATCAGTCCTTAAGCTTTGCTCTGTATGCTTGTTTCACTAACCACCTTGTGCCTTCTCGGTTATTCTGAATGAGTAAGGACGTCATGTCCATTGTTCTCTAGTCGCTGGCAGTTGGGCGTCTTTACTTTGCTCTGTTTTCTTCATGCGTCTTTGGTGTTGGGTTTCCTCCTATATCCTTTTTTCATGTTTCAATTCATTCAGATTCTGTAGTCACTTCAACGTTGATTTTCTGGGTACTAAAATAACAAATTAAATTTATTCAAGATTGTTTATCTCCCATATATTGAAAGAGCTATTAGTGATGCTTTAAATAGAAAACTTTTTTGGTCACAATTGGCGGTAGGCATATTGCTATGGAGAAAATACTTTCTTTGTAATTTTTAAATTGAAATGAATTTATACTAAGTAAAATATACTTTAGATTTTTAAAAGGATTTTTTAATACCCTTGTGAAGATCAATTGCAAGCATTTTGTGGGTATTTAGAAATGCTAATTTATAAAATGCTGGACAGAAATAGTTTATTATTATTAAAACAAGATTTGCAGATTAAACGTAAGTACTGGGATTCTGTGAACTGTATTCCTTACTTTTGTTGTCTGTCACAAAGCCAATTTCTACGTGTGTGAGAGATCTCATTAATCTCTAAAATGGAGGGGATTTCACTAACACGTTAAATATAGAATGTTTGCTTTTTGAAATTTTTGGTCTGTCATTTTAATTCAAAATGTCACAAAATATTTCTATTCTCTTAATTCTTTTTAATTCATAACTTAAATAGGCAACCATGTGATTGAGTGCAAAATCATTTTATTTAACTGGTTGTCTTTAACGTCTCTTTCACATATAACACAATTTTGATGTCAGATTTCTCTCAAATGTACTTTTCTAAGTGCCAGGGGAAAGCAAATACTTGTTCCAATTGTTTGTAGTAGATATAAAATAATATTTAAAATAGTTATGTGTAGGTGTTCTTTAAATTGGTGGGAAAAATGGAAGACCTTTTATACTCATATACTCTATTTAATTAATTTTGAGAGAGTAAACAAATGTCCCATATCTTCGCAGATACTATCAGTACAAGGGAGTGTTGGCCTATCTTACTGGTGCCTTGACCAGTAATACAACAGTTATCTCTGAGATCCCTTCAGAATAGAATTACCTTTGAGGATAATCCAGACTGTTTGCTCTAGAGAGTTAGGGCACCACTAACAGATTACCTTCTAGTTGGGGTTACAGATATGATGTGAAGTCTGGCATCCTGGAATTCAAATTGTGAATCTCAGTGAGTCACAGACTCGCAAGAATTTTTTTTCCTTTGAATAATCAATCCAAAAGAGTCATAGGATTTTTGTTGTTTTAAAAAAATACATGTTTTGGATAAAGGGAGATGGATACCCCACAGCTCATGTTCTGATTTCAAGAAACCTCATAGATATTTCTGCTTTCCAGGAAGCAGAAATGTCAATTTAAATGGCTTTAGGACAACCAGTTAGCATTGTGGAATTTTGAGGTCACAGGAAGAGTGGTTACGGTTCTGGTATGCACAGAGCTGTTCTGGTGTATGCCTTTGGCCTGGTGTAATGATTAATGGTGTCCCCTCCTTCTCTCTCAGAAATATCCCAGTGTATAAAAATTACACAGTTGCACTGAAACCGGTTTGGCTCAGTGGATAGAGCGTCGGCCTGCGGACTGAAAGGTCCCAGGTTCGATTCCGGTCAAGGGCAAGTAACTTGGTTGCGGGCACATCCCCAGTAGGTGGTATGTAGGAGACAGCTGATCGATGTTTCTCTCTCATCGATGTTTCTAACGATCTCTCTCCCTTCTCTCTGTAAAAAATCAATAAATATATATTTTTTTTTAATTACACAGTTGCCCTGGTTATAGGTTACGTTTTACAGTTCTTAATAGTATTCTTAAAATACCCTTTTGTTCAACAGAAAACAGAATAGACTCAGACATTTTCATATCTCTCCAAACTCAACAGGGGGTAGTAACATCGACTCTTTTGTGAATATTCTCAATTCACTCTTTCAGAGCAAGCTTCTAACCAAGAACATTGTCTACTTCACAGTTGTAGAGTAAGAGGGACCATTTGGAGATTCTTTTTACCAGCAGCATTCTGCAAAACAATAATTCTCTTTCTTAGCATTGAGAGGCTGAGGAACTTAAAACTGACTGTATGGAAAAGAAAAAGGCAAGGAAATTTATAACAAATAAGATAATGAGATAGGTGATGTTTTGATTCTACATATGGTTCCCTTTTAAATCCAGAAACTTTGAGGTTTGTCTAATGGAATTAATCTATTTAAATCTATACTTTTTAGCCAAGAGAAGATTAAATTGTTGAAACTAACCTTGCAATTAAAACTTTAAATTTTAGACTGTGCCCTAAGTTGGTTTGGCTCAGTGATTAGAATGTCAGCCCAAGGACTGAAGAGTCCTGGGTTCAATTCTGATCAAGGATATGTACCTTGTTTGCAGGCTCGATCTCTTCTCTCTCTCACATTGATGTTTCTCTGTCTCTCCCCTTCCCTTCCACTGTCTTTTTAAAAAAATTATTTAGTCTGAACTAAAATTATTCCAACTAGGAGGTCATTCTTTTTCACTGGACAGCAGGAATGACAGACATTAACGTCTTTCTTGACTAAAAGTCAATGTCAATAAATATGTGTATGTTAACCATTTTACTCTAATGACTCAACCTCTCCAATTGAATTTCTCATGTTTGTTATAATCTTTAAATTCTAAATCTTTTAAAATTCTTACGTATACTTAAGCAGCTTTTATAATTTAAAATACTTTTGACAGGAAGTGTCTTCACTGACTAGTAATATGTTGATAAGAATGAGACATTTACAAATACTTATGTGAATGTTTATTTTTAAATTTTTTTAGTAAATTTATTGGGGCAACATTGGCTAATAACATATTGATAGATTTCAGGTATACGACTTTATATTATGACATCTATATTCTCTATTGTGTGAATGTTTCCCATGCTAAGCAGCAGGATCTTATGTGGAAAAAAAATACCAATTCCCCCCAAATTCCAACTATTAAGAACAACATAGCCTCAATTTAGGCACTTAATTCTTGTTTTGTCAATTTATGTTTCCTGTATTTTATTTTTATTTTTTCTTATTTTTTATTAAATTATTTGCGTTTCCTGTATTTTAAAGCTATATATTAGGTCCATGAACATTTAAGATTATGATATCATCTTGATGAATTATTCACTTTATCTCTGATAATCTTTATCTTAAAGTCTACAAGTATTTTATCTGGCATTAATAGCTACAACAACTTTCTCATGATTAGTGTTTGTATGTTATATCTTTTTCCATCCTTTATTCTCAATACGTCTATGACCATGTATGTCAAATTTGTCTATAAATGTATTTTATGGTCATATTTGTTATTTGGTGTGGCAATCTTTTGTCTTTTCATTGGGGTGTTTAGTCCATTTATATTTAATACAATACCAATATGGTTGGGCTTAGTCTACCTCAAGACCAGGCAAACTTTTAGCCTAAGGTTAAATCTCGTGGCTTGTTTTGAGTTTTAAATTGCCCCTGCAACATCTAGTCTTTCTGCTTCTATGAGCTTGGCTACTTTAGTTATATACGTGATATATACTTCCAGGTATATATGTGGAACCTGGAAGCATAATGTAGTCGAGGCTCATCGATATTATAGCATCTGACAGAATTTCCTTTTTTATAGCTAAATAATTCCATTGTATCTATTTACCATATTTATTTTATTTTTTTCAGTAAGGAATTTGGTATTTATTTGCCCAGTGTTCTTTTAGCAAACATTTGTTGAATGCCTAGGTATGATTTGGCAGTAGGGTATGGGAACAGCCAATAAAAAGACAGTAGTCAGCCTTAAGAATCTGCTATGTACAAGTGTGGGGCTGTGGGTTGGAGCACATAAGAAAAGCAGCACAGGGGAGTTTCAAAGCCTAAAAGACAAACGTTAGAGCAGTTTTTATACTCAGAAATGGGGAGGAAGGAGAAGACTGCCCACATTTCCAGTATCCATTCATCTGCTGATGGGCATTTTGGTTGTTTTCACCTCCAGGGTATTATGAAGATGCTATAATAAACCTGGGAGTGCAAATATCCCTTTCAGAACCTGATTTCAATTATTTTGCATAAATTCCCAGAAGTGGATTGTTGTATTATATGGTATTTCTATCTTTAATTTTTTTGAGGAATCTACATACTGAGTTTTGAATTTTGATAAAGCCTAATTTCTCTGATTTTTTTCTGTTGTTGCTCCTGCATTTGGTATCATATTTGCGAATGTTGCCAAATTCATGATCATTTAATATTTACCTTAGTTTTTTTCTAAGACTTTTAGGTTTTAGTAGTACCTCTCATACGTAGATCATGGATTCATTTTGAGTTAATTTTTTATATGTGATATGAGGTATATCCAACTTCATTCTTTTGTATGTGGATATCCAATTTCCCAAAAGATTGCTTTCTTTATTGAATGGTTTTGGTACCCTATTGAAAATCAATTGGGGGGGAAAAAAAATCAATTGGCTATAAATAGTATGGGTGTATTTCTGAACTTGCAGTTCTATTCTTGTCTATACATCTATTCTTATGCCAATACCACTTTGTGTTGCTTTAATTATGGGAACTTTAAATTAAGTTTTGCAATTGGGAAGTATGGTTCTTCCAGCTTTGTTTTTCTCTTTTAAGATTGTTTTGCTTGTTTGGGACCTCTCACAATTTCCTATGAATTTGAGGATCAACTTTTTAAATCTGCAGTTCACTGTTATTTACTTCTGAGTAATATTTTGTTGTATCACTATACCAGTTGGTTTATCCAGTCTCCTATTGAGTGTATTGATGGAGAATGGATAAGCACTTGTATTCTCTTTTTTTATCTGTTTTCTTGATCATGTTAATTGGGACTAAGTGTTTTGTTTTCACCAGTTCTAATTTGAATGTGTTTATTCTTCAAAAGCACTTGTTGCTGAGGAACTAGTGGCTTTTTGGCCACTTATTTTATATTACCGCTTTAGAAAGCAGTGTGTTTTCATGGCACAGTGCTCTCTGTTCATGATTAAACTTTTATCCAGAAAAATGCCAGTTTGAAAGTGTTTTGCAAATAATTTACTGTCTTTCTTCACAGGTGCCCTTTTTATCTCCATTGGAAGGTCATATTTATTTAAAAATAAAATGTCAAGTGAATTCAAGTGTTGAAGAAAAAGGTTTCCTAGTAAGTAATCTGTATGTATTTTCTTTTGTTCTGTTTTGTGAAGGATAGACAAGAAAGCCTGTGTGATTCAGTGGCAGGCTGGTTCAGCAAAGACGTTTTGCATGTCCATTACATGCCAGTGACTGTGCTGGTGTGGGAATGCACTAGGCCACAAAAGTAAGCCCTCTGCTCAGGAGATGTTAGTTTAGCTGGGAAAAGAACAAGTGTACAGGTAAGTATGACAGATACAGTGCTGTCATGGGCGAAAGCACAGAGTGCGTGCACACTAATAAACGTTATAAGGGGTGGACGTGAGGAATGGGAGTGCGAGCAACTCTTTGAAACAGTTTGGTGGCAGGTGGGTAAGTAGAGTGTGGTAATTGACAGGATCTTTAGGATAAAAGAAAGATTTTGTTGACATCTTATTAGGCTCAACTTGAGTCTTCAAATACAAGTGGGTAGCTTTTAATAGGGTTGGAGATTGGGGCAGTTCAGGAAGAATTCCTGGGATTAAATAAGAACATGAGAGTGAGACAAAATCAGACCCAAACCACAGTACATGGTCACATGATTGATTTTGTACAGAGTTGTATTTTCTCAGTTATCCAAGGAGAAATGTATTTGTGAAGAACATAGTGGACAATGGTGGGTGTGGTGCAAGAAGTAGGGAAAGCCTGTAGCTTTAGTTTCCTCTGTGAAGCAAGAACCTGAATGAGACAAAGCATTGCAGTGGCTGTGAAAGGTGCAGAAAGAGGAGCCGGGTTACCTGGCAAGCCCTCATGGCCAACCCGACAGTAAACCCAGCTTCCCTGCTAGCTTTTCTCTCGTGCAAATCCAGCAGGTGGCACTAGTAGTCTTGGAAAAGCCTGTCTATAAATCCTTGGGTTGAAGGCAGTGTTTACTTACCTTTTAATGTAAATATTTCCATATTGTATTAGAGACACCGCTTTCCAGTATCCTCCTGACAGTGACTGATGGACTCTGGCAGCTAGTTCATTTATATATAATGTCTGAGCTCTTAACTAGTCAGTTATATTTTTCAGGTTTATCCTCACCAAAAGGGCTCAGAACTCTCCCAAATAACTTCTGCCCCTGTCTAATCAATGCATTTTAATTACCTCTGTCCTCTTATAAAGAGTAAAGGTGGGCCCAGCTGTGTGGCTCAGTGGTTGAATCAGGAGGTCATAGTACATGCCTGGGTTAGGGCACATGCCCAGATTATGGGCATGATCCCCAGTGTGGGGCGTGCAGGAGGCAGCCGATCAATGATTCTCTCTCATCTTTGATGTTTTCTCTCTCTTTCCCTCTCTGAAATCCATAGAAATATATTTTTAAAAAATAGAGGTGGTAGTTGAAATTTAAGGTGTTCAGTTTCCCTTCCTGCGCTGGAAGGAAGGGAATGACCAGCTAAAGAGGCTTGATGGGTGGTTCTGTGGTGCTCCTCCAGCTCCGTCCAGGCTGGCGAGCTGCAAGGGAAGGACACTCCGGACGCCTAGCAGGTCCCTGCTCTGCGGTGTGCGATGTGATGGTGTTGTCATTGGCCTTCCTTGGCCCTTAGTTTTCTCAGCTAAAAAGCAAAAGCTGTTCTCTTGTCATTCCTCTCTGATTAGAGTAGAGCATAATGATAACCGTTTTACTCTTCTCCCTCCAATTCCCCTTGTCTGCTGCCTTTATGGTGTGAGAGGCGGACAGAAACACAGAAGGGTGTTGGGGAGCCGTTCGTCCTAACTTGTCCATGGGGCTGAAATAAGACGCTTGTCTTATTCCCTCGGTGGCTGTGTGCAGGTGGTGCCAGAGAAACCAGGCCTCGGGAGGAGAGGGTAAACTGGGGAGAAGAAGAAAAGTGGGGTGAGAGAGCATATGGTTGAGTCAGCTAATGAATCTGAGCTAATTAATTAAGCTAATAAGTTTGAGGTTTTATTCTATCATGGAGACATTTCTTCACACAGAGTAATTTCCCTCCAGGGCCAGAGATTGCACTGCTAACTCAAGCCACCTTTTGGTAAAATTACACACATTAGTGGATGGAGGAGACTCGCTCTCCCACTATTGTTTGGTGTGGGGCTTTGCTGAACCATTTCAAGGTGGAAAATTCTTAATGCATTTTGAAATCACAAAGATACCTTTGGATTATCTGTATTCGGGCCAGCCGAGTATGCCCACCGTTTGTTTCCATAAAGTTCATTAGAACTCAGGCTCATCCGTCTCCATGTTGTCTGTGGGCACTTTGCACCACAGCAGCAGCCAGATGAATGGTTATGAAGGAGCCACAATCCAAATCTCTACTCTCTACCCTTCAGAGAAAGCCTCCCCACCCGTCTGGGCACTGGAGCATTTTACCTTGCTTTGTTTCTTAATGTCATAGTGTCTAAATGAATTCGTTTCTTAAATTAGCAGTAAGGACGGACATAAATTAGGGCTCCATTCCGACTAAGAAACAGTGGGGGTGGGGGAAGCAGCTCCTACTTACACTTTAGGAAAAAGCACTTCCATGGAAAAGCCCCACGGTTATTAGTTACCTGTGTGACTCTTTTCCAGTCCTTTTTTGTTGTACCACACAGAAATTAAAGTCTTCTGCAGTAAGTCTACATAAGCAGCTAGCATTTGTCTTTTTCAATATATAAGGCATGACATTCTCAAATCACTTTACTTTCCAACGCTTGAAGTATTTTTCTCTTATTTAAGGAATGTTGGTCAGGAATGCCATACTTTTAAAAAAGTCTGATATTAGGTAGAGGAACATGGGGTTAACACACGGAGTTTCTTAAGTGCTGAATGCCTGTAGATGCTGCTGAAAATCTGGGCACATGTCTGGGTGTGAGCAGCCAGTGAGGATGAGGAGACATGATGGAAGTCACGCAGGGAGATTGGGAAGCGGGCGTATTCCAGCATGGTGACATTTAGCCAATGGAATTAACATTTCACTCATCCCCAAGTGATTAAGCCAGGATCTCACTCACTTTTCCAGACCATATTTGAAGATGTGAGTGGGTTTGGTGCCTGGCATCGAAGATGGTGTATTCTGTCTGGAAACTGTATCTCTTACTGGACATACCCCGATGACGAGAAACGGAAGGTAAGGCTGAGGTGCAGGTCGATGGGAAGGCCCTGACCTGTCTGCTTGTGCTGTTTCACTAAGTGCTCCCTCCGCCTCCACCCACCCGCTCCCCTGGGAGTCTGTTCGCTGGGCCATCGAAAATGTGCTTGTTGCAAAGTGTGTGTGTGTGCGCGCGCATGCGCAGAAATTTTATATTAAACTGATAAGAACAGATACCACACTTGATCTTAGCCAAAAGAAATTTTATATTTTATCCATTCTCAATGATTTGACCATTCTTAAAATACTGTACGGCATATATTTGTCTTTCTTCCTAGAATTTTTAGTCAAAAATGTTAAATTTACTTTAGTATTATTGTAGCCATGTGAATTCTATATAAAACTCATTGTGAACTATTTAGGACGGCCAAAAGCACATAGCGTAGCTAATGTCCATCATCCTCCATGTTCAGTCCAGCTGAAGCCCCATGTGACTGTCCCCTACAGAGGCGACCCTAGGCTGAAATGGTGTTCCTGCTTACTTAATTTTTATTATATGTGTACATATTCCAAAGCCATATTATTGCAGTTGGATATTTTAAACATATGTATGTAGTGGTTTGCAACTTGATTTTTTTACTGAGGTGGTTTGTGGACTAGCCTGGGCTGATGTGTACCGTTCTGGTCTGTGGTGCTCCGCCGTCTGGCCTTCTCTTTTGGAGATCCACGGCAGTATTTACAGATGAGATGCATGTCTAGGCTTCTGTTTGCAGGGAGGAAGGGAGGGATGGCCGTGGACAGAAGGGGGCTGAGAGTGTTTCTAATTGTCGTTGGTGCATGGGACTTCATTCGATTGCTTTGTTTTTAATTTTGTATCTCTAAAGTTTTCCATACAGAGTTTATGGCTAAGAGCTCTAGTTGACATCTCTTTTATTATTAAGTAACAATAATATACAGGATGAAATGGCTTTTTAAATTTATACAAACTTAAATACTGCTTAATGCTGACTTAAATGGTCTTTTTTACTTTCTGCTAATACTTTTTTTAAAAATTTTTATTTTTAAAGAATCCCATAGGCAGAATAAATCTGGCCAATTGTACCAGTCGTCAGATAGAACCAGCCAACAGAGAATTTTGCGCAAGACGTAACACTTTTGAATTAATTACTGTCCGACCACAAAGAGAAGATGACCGAGAGACGCTTGTCAGCCAATGCAGGGACACACTCTGTGTCACCAAGTAAGTATCGGCCTGCCGATAGCTCGACCAACACAGTAACTCACTGCTCATATGCTCTTACCAGTGTAAGAAATATCAGGGTCACCCTTGTCTTTAGGGGGGTACAGGCTTAGTAAGGACACAAAACACACACAGTAAGTGAACAATCTAATAACTAAATTAGTTTAGAGAAGAAAAGCTTACCATCCTATATAATAAAAGCCTAATATGCTAAGTGTCCAAGCGTTCGACCAGTCACTGTGACACACGCTGACCATCAAGGGGCAGACACTTTTTTTTTTCTAATATATTTTATTGATTTTTTACAGAGAAGAAGAGAGAGGGATAGAGAGTTAGAAACATCGATGAGGGAGAATTATCGATCAGCTGCCTCTTGTACACACCCCACTGGGGATGTGCCCATAACCAAGGTATATGCCCTTGACCGGAATCGAACCCAGGACCTTTCAGTCCACAGGCTGACGCTCTATCCATTGAGCCAAACCGGTTTCGGCAAGGGGCAGACACTCTTACCAGTAGGTTAGCTGGTTGATCGGGACTGGGCGAGATGGGTCAGACACTGGGGTCCTCCCACGGTTCCTCCCTGGCCCTGATTGTGTATCAGTGGGGTCCCTCAGCCTGGCCTGTGGGGATCAGGCCTAAATGGCTCTCCAGTATCCCCTGAGGGGTCCTGGATTGCAAGAGGACGCAGGCCAGGGACCCCACTGGTGCACAAATCTGTGCACCAGGCCCCTAGTTCAGGTTATATCTTAGATAATCATGCTTTCAATGTTCTCACAGTGTAACCATTTTCAGGGCAGTTAGTTGATATATATTAAGTTTGAAGAGTTCATGTATAATTGGGAAGCCAAATATTATTTAAAGAGCCTTTACACACCTCTTCCTTTCCATTCAAAATGCTCTTATCAATCGGGTGACTTACAAAAGCAGTCATTCTGCTCTGTGAAGTTCTGGTTGGAGGTGAACAGAATGAACTATTGGGAGTGTCACTTTCTGTTAGGCCAAAGCTTAGGTATAAGATGAAAGCTTATTGTTAAAAATCTAAGATTCTTTTCCTTGGATGTCCAAGAGAAGCCTAAAACCAACTTCAACATACACAGTGTGATTAGGGACAAAAGTTTGAATTTGACAAAGTCTATTAATGAGGCTGTAGCCGGGCATTGTAGACAGGGGTGGATGGAGCTGCTCCAGGGGTTTCTGATGAAGGACTTAAAAATGGTTCAGGTAGGGGACCCATTCCCTGGAAATTCGTGGTGCTCAGTTACTTCAGATTAACTCAGTGGAACTCCTCCGCTCCTTTCCTTTGGGGGCTTCTCTGCAGCACTGGCATAAGACCAGACAGGACAGGGGGCACAGGAGTTTACAGCCATTTGTCCAGGTCCACAGTCAGTGGGGGAACCAGCCAAAATTCAGTACCCAAGAGGTTCCTGACCACAGCAGCCCATGTTAACCCTTTTGAATGCAGTCTTACCTTTACGTACTAACAAGCTCTCCCAGACTTTTTCATGACCTTCTCCTTGACCTTCTCCTGTAGTAGAAATAGCCAGATTCCATGTGGCTCCCACAATTGTATTTGCTTTTTCTCCTTATAACATCACTAGAGGCCCGGTGCACAACATTCATGCACTGGGTTGGGGGGAGCCCTCAGTCCAACCCGGATTCTCATAATCCGGACCCTTTTGGAGGTGTCCACCTGCTGGTTAGGCCTACTTCCCTCAGGAAACATCCCCCATGGAGTCCTTAAGGCTGCTAAGGAGGTGGGAGAGGCTCCCACCACTGCTCCTGCACTCTCCAGCCATAAGCCCAGCTCCCAACTGAGCAGCACACCCTGTGGGAGAGTGCTGACCACCTGGGGCAACTCCTGCATTGAGTGTCTGCCCCCTGGTGGTCAGTACTCATCATAGCGACCGGTCATTCTGTTTGGTCAATTTGCATATTGGCCTTTTATTACGTAGGACTGTGATTTGAGCCAACCCTTTGTTATCACACACATTTGTGACTGGAGGGCTCTCACTTGGTGGCTTCTCAAAACCGTTTGGATCATACATTTTGTTAAAATATAAACATTTTATCATTCTGCATTCTCCTTTGTCCTCAACTATTTCTACACAGGGCCTTTAATCTAAATTAATTCTCATTTTAAAAATTGTACTCGAAGCCTCTTCCTCTGGGGCTCTCAAATAGCATCCCCTCACAGAGAGTACAGAGGAACTCATTTTACTGATTTGTTGAGGCTTTCTCCCCAAGTAAGGGTGCGGGGCGGCGTGGAAGGGGCAGAGGAGCTCTGAGCAGCTGCTGGTTTGCTCCCGCAGGCACTGGCTGTCCGCAGACACCAAGGAGGAGCGGGACCTCTGGATGCAGAAGCTCAATCAAGTCCTTGTGGACATTCGCCTCTGGCAGCCGGAGGCCTGCTACAAGCCACTCGGGAAGGCCTGAGCGGGCTGTTCCCGTGCCGCTCAGCGGTGGCTCTGACCACGTGTCTTAGGAGCGACCGACATGGCGAGTGCATTTTATGCTTTAAAAACGAAAGGGGATGTGCCAATATTCACTACATATTATGCAGTATTTATGTCTTTTGTATGTAAAAACTTCAACTGATTTGTCATTCATAAATGCCTATAGAGGAAATTCATTATAATTGATTTTGCTAAATCTTAATCTAAAAGCCTCATTTCCTGGAAACCTGATTATTCAGTTATTCACGATAAAACGTTTGTTTGTTTTTAAGTAAGAAATTGTAAGTTGTCTTCTTGGAGCTGTGGGTCTCAGCACAGAGGGGTCTTCGGGAGTTAGTCCCTCTTTACCCTCATTCGTGTGCTGTCAGCGGTGGGCCTGTATCGGCTGTCTTGTAACTGTCGCACTGAAAACATTTCTAAGGGACTTCACAGAAACGCTTTTAGTAACGGAGGCAAGGGCTTTTTCAAAGAGCAAATGGACATTCGTTTAAAGCTGAGGCTTCTTCGAACAGGAGATGCGGACTTAGGGATATTGTGTGAGATTTGGAGTAAGACGTTTTACTTAGAAAACTTAATAATCACATGGTTTACATTTGCTGTTACTGAAGATGCTGCATGGTACACATTTTCATAAAATGTAGGCTTTCAAAAGTAATTGTTTTTGCTATATAGCTAACAGACTCCTCAAATATGCTAATTTCTCTCTGTTCCTGTAACAAGAACAAATGTACAATGAAGACTTTTTATATAAGAAAGTAAACTTCACAAGCTGCTGTGGACTAATACTTGGCTTGCCAAAGCTCTTGACTTTTTTACTTTTCAAGTCATATATGACAGTGCCTAGAAATCCGTTATGAAATATGTTGAAAAACTATTAAGTAATTATTTCTTTAAAAGCTTAACACTTTATTTTTGTGTTATAAAATATTGTAAAGCATTGTCTCAAACTTTTAAGTACACCTTGAGTTTCTTCTCTAAATTGTTATTGATGTTCTCATTTGTAAACACTAAATTCTGTCACCTCCTGTCATTTTATCTTTTATTCATTTGAGTGTGTTCTTATGTGTATTATAAAATCTTTTATGATCGCTTACCTAAATAAATACTTGCAAATGGCTTACCAAATCTGTTTTCTAAGAAATCCTATTTAAACGTGTGATGTGGCTGCTCCACCGTAGGCTCTGGGGCCTCGTGAGGGTATTTCATTGACGGTGTCTTTTCATCTTTCCAGCTGTGTCCCAGGGCTGGACTCGTGTGTGGTGTGCTTAGGGTTGCTGTTGAATGAGTGGCTGGGTCAGAGGTGAGGAGGGCTGCTGCTGAATGAGTAGGTGCCATTTCCATATGGTACTTGATGTGCATTTGAAGGACAGGGATGACCCCCAAGTGCTTAGCAGAGACTGAGTGTAGAAGTGACATCACCAGCCACAACAGGAACAGTTTGGTGGGATTTATCTATAGGATAGACTCATGTTTAAAATCATAGAACAAAATTCAAGAGGCACAAGGAAGTTAACATGTAAGTAAGTCTTCTCCCATTCTCCCACTTTTACCAGCATTTGTGTCCTCCTAGAGAGTATGCATGTCCCACAGACATATTAGATTCATTGGCCCACACATACTGCTCGCTGTAAGTTAAAGGAACAAAGCGTAACAATACCCCTAGAGATGCTTCTATCTTAGGGCCTATAAAGTGGTTGTGGAACATCAAGGTAAAATTCCAGTGAAAAGTACTGTGAATGATGCCGGTGTCGCTGCCTGCGGGGATCACTGGAACCACTGGAGTGGATAAAAGGCTCCCCACCTCCAGGGTGTGGACAGAGAAGCAGAAACAAAAGGAACATGTTTGATAGAAGAAACATGAAAAAGCAGTGGCTGTGATTGTCCGTGAAAGGAACGCGAATGATGTCTGGGGAGACCAAACAGGAACCTTAAGATTCTGACCACAGCCGACACCGGTTTGGCTCAGTGGATAGAGCGTCGGCCTGCGGACTGAAAGGTCCTGGGTTCGATTCCGGTCAAGGGCATGTACGTTGGTTGCAGGCACATCCCCGGTGGGGGGTATGCAGAAGGCGCTGGTTGATGTTTCTCTCTCATCGATGTTTCTGGCTCTCTATCTCTCTCCCTTCCTCTCTGTAAAAAAAAATCAATAAAATATATTTTTTAAAAGATTCTGACCACAAACTCAGAAACTTGAAGTGGTCAGTTCAGTAAGATGTTGAAATAAACAGCCAGGTTACAATAAAGTCCACAAAAGGAAAAAAAAGACAGGGTTGGTTACATAAAAAAAAAAAATCCTGCCTGATTAATGTCCATAAACAAGCAAGAAACTAGGAGGAAATGTTCATGCTGTGCGCAATAATCAAAGAATCACCATGCAAACAGCATGAAGAGGGCTGGCTGGCAGCGTTTACTCTGCACCAGGCCGTCTTCTTGATGTTTCTTTTTTTTCTTTCAGATTTAACCCATTGGAATTAATTATTCAAAGTGTGTACATTTCTTTTGGGAGATACCATATGTATATATTTAATTATTAAATATATATATTATATATATTATATTATTTTTTATATATATATCGATATATATTATTGCTTTTTTACAGAGAGGAAGGGAGAGGGATAGAGAGTTAGAAACATCGATGAGAGAGAAACGTAGATCAGCTGCCTCCTGCACACCTCCTTCTGGGGATGTGCCCGCAACCAAGATATGTGCCCTGACAGGAATCGAACCAGGGACCCTTCAGTCTGTAGGCCGACACTCTATCCACTGAGACAAACCAGTTTTAGCTGGTTCCCAGATCTTAATGGCAAGGACCAGAAGGCCATTCAGGGGACCTGGACTAGAATCCATTGCCTATCCCTTTAGTGGAGTCTAAATTTCAAGACTAGTCCAGACCACTATTTCATTATCCCCAGGCCCTGCCCTTGAACCAAATTTCCCACCTGGGCCCATAGCGACCCCTAGTGACCACACCTCCTTCCAAGAACCCAGACCTACATCCAGGGCTCAGAGGTATATCCAGGTGGCAGACCATCATGGCGGGGCTGAGAATGCCAACCAGGGGCCAAGGCCACAAACACTGAACACCGTGGTGTAACAGGGGACTAGATCTTCATACAGAACCCAGACCACTATTCCATAACCCACTGTCCAGTTGAGCTACCAGACGGCCCACCAGAGCCCAGACCTCCCTCTATGGCCCAAACTGCCCTTCCAATACCCAGACCTCCAATGGGGCTCAGACCTCCATCAGGGTCCCAGACCATCAGGCAGGGCCCAGAAGATTATCCCGGGGCCCAGGCCTCAAACACAGAATCCAGGCTTGTATCAGGGGTATAGTTCTCCATTTGTAACCAGACCACCATTCCATAACCCAGATGTCCACGTGAGGTACCAGACCGCCCCCCGGGGCCCAGACCTCCCTCCCTGGCCCGAACTGCCCTCCCAGGACCCAGAACTCCATCTGGGGCTCAGACCTACATCCAGGTCCCTGGACTTTTTTAAATCTTTATTCATTTTTCACAGAGAGGAAGAGTGGGGTAGAGAGTTAGAAACATGCATGAGAAACATCGATCAGCTGCCTCCTTCACATTCCCCACTGGGGATGTGCCCGAAACCAAGGTGCGTGTCCCTGACGGAAATGAACCTGGGATCCGTCAGTCCACAGGTGGACGCTCTATTCACTGAGCCAAACAGGTTGTGGCAGATCCAAGACCGTTATGGCAAGGAACAGAAGGCCATTCAGGGGACCCAGACTAGAACCCATTGCCTATCCCTTTATTGGATTCTAAATACACAGGCCAGTCCAGACACCATTTCTTCATCCCCAGGCCCTGCCTTTGAACCAAACCTCCCATCTCAGACCATAGCACCTCCTAGTGACCACACCTCCCTCCAAGCACCCAGACCTACATCCGGGTCCCGGACCCATCCTTGTGGGGCCGAGAATGCCAACCAGAGGCCCAGGCCACAAACCCCGCCTAAATCTCTATGTGTAACACATTCAATAACCCAGATGTCCAGGTGAGGTACCAGACCACACCAGGGGCTCAGACCTCCCTTACTGGGCGGAACTCCCCTCACAGGACCCAGACTGCCATCTGGGGCTCAAACCTACACCTGGGTCCCAAACCTTTACTAAGAGGGCCAGAAGACCATTCGGGGAACCCAGACCTGAACAGTATGGCTATGCCTTTATTAGTCAAAATATCCAGGCTAGTCCTGACCACCATTTCATCATCCCGAGGTCCTGCCCTTCACCCAAACCACCCAACTGGGCCCTTAGCGCCCCCAAGTGACCACACCTGTCTTCCAGCACCCAGGCTTAGACCCAGGGCTCAGACCTACATCTGGGTCCAGAGTGGCATGGTGGGGCTGAGAAAGCCAACCAGGGCCCAGGCCACAAACTTTGAAAACAGAGTTGTATCAGGGGACTAGATATGCGTAACCCCAACAACTATTCCATAACCCAGATGTTCCGGTGAGGTACCAGACTGGCCCCAAGGCTCAGACTTCCATCTGGGCCCGAACTGCCAGGACCCAGGCCTCAAACACAGAATCCAGACTTGCATCAGTTGTGTACTTCTCAATTTATAAACCAGACAAAAATTTCCATAACCCCAATGTCCAGGTGAGGTACCAGACTGCCCCCAGAGGGCCAGATATCCCTCCCTGGCCCCAAAGGCCCTCTCAGGACCCAGAACTCAGTCCGGGGCTCAGACTTACCTTCTGATCACAGACCATTATGTCTAGAACCAGAAGGCCATTCTGGGGACCCATACTAGAAGCCAGTGTCTATTCCTTTATTGGAATATAAATATGCAGGCTCCTGATCACCATTTTATCATGTCGAGGTCCTGCCCTTGCTCCAAACCTCCCACCAAGCCTCCTATCGCCCCCTAGTGACCACACCCTGCCTGAGCACCCGGACCAATATCCAGGGCTCAGACCTACATCCGGGTTCCCAGACCTTCATGGCGG